TGGCGCCTGGCGGAGACCGTAGACCGGCCGCCGGAGGCTCCACTGGGTACCAGGAGGGAACGACCCATTGAAGCCAGGAGGGCGGCGCAGCCAAATCTCCTCGTGCAGGCTACCCTGTAAGAAGGCTGTGCTGAAGTCAAGAGAGTGAAGCTCATAGTCACGCTGAGCGGCAACGTGCAGCAGCACCCGAAGAGTGGTCATCTTCGGGGTGGGGGAGAAGGTCTGGAAGAAGTCAACTCCCTCTCGCTGACTGAAGCCTCGAGCCACGTACCGAGCCTTGAAGACAGGCGGAGAACCTGGCGGCCGCTTCACCCTGAAAATCCACATGCCACTGACAATGTTCGCCCCAGGAGGGGGAACCTCGTCGACGTAGGTGCATGTGGACTTCCAGGATGCCATCTCTGCGTCCATGGCTGTCTGCCACTGAGAGGAGTACTCACCCGCGATCGCCTCAGCGTAAGAGCGCGGGGTAGGGATGTCTGGTGCATCCGGGTCTCCCTCAGGGGCAAGCAGCATGGATACGAGATGAGGCGCAGCGGCTGCAAGACACTCAAGGTCCTCCTGTCTGTCCTCAAGGACGTCCGTGCCAAGAGCACACTCACCCCCGACGGACGGAGGACAGACAGACTCAGACTCAGCAACAAGTCTGGCGGCGTAGTCGAGACGACAGGCAGCAGCAAAGTCAACAAGCTCAGCGACTAAGGCAGACGCAGCAGCAGACTCAAACGACGGGTCAGTGACAACAGTGGCAAGCAGACGCGTGACAGTAGAGTGCTCAGCACGAAACTGGTCAGACGCAGGGTCAGCAACGACAAGCAGAGAGGACGTAGGGGGAGACGGCAGAGGAACACGCAGCGGAGGAGAGGAAGGACGACGAACTACAAGGTGAGAGCCGGAGACAGCCGGCTGCTGCTGACGAGGAACACTACTACAGTGGCCGGGGAGGAGTAGCGCGCAACTACAGCGTCGTACAGTGTCTGAGCAGTTCTGTGCTGGCTGAAATGCGCCCGCTCAGTAATCGGCAGGTGGTTCCTAATAGCTAGACGTGCAGCAACATCACGAGTCTGCCACTGGGAGCGTTCTAGAGCAGGAGCATCAGCAGCAGGAGCAACGGCAGAGCCAGAGACGTAATCAAACAGGGAAACGCCATCTTTGGCATCAGTCAGAAGGAACAGTTGGAGATCGTCTAACCATACACCGAACTCGATGGGACGACCGTCAGGCTCGAATGCTAGAACGTTAGGCGTCGCCATATTGGCTTAAGGCAGGAGGTAGCAGGCAGCAGGCAGAGGCAGCAGGCACCAAGTAGGAGGCAGGAGGCAGAGGCAGGAGGTAGGGGCAGCAAGCAGCAGGCAGACAGGAGGCAAGCTGCAGGCAGGCGGCAGCAGGCAGCAAGCAGGCAGGCAGGCAGGCGGCAGGCAGGCAGCAGCAGGTAGCAAGCAGGCAGGCGAGAGCAGGCAGCAAGCAGGCAGGCAGGTAGGCTGCACGCAGTAAGCAGGCAGGCGGCAGCAGGCAGGCAGGCTGCAGGCAGGCGGCAGCAGGCAGGCAGGCTGCAGGCAGGCGGCAGCAGGCAGCAAGCAGGCAGGCAGGCAGGCTGCAGGCGTAGGCAGGCAGGCGGCAGCAGGCAGGCAGAAGGCAGGCTGCAGACAGGCGGCAGGCAGGTGGCAAGCAGGCAGGCAGGCAGGCTGTAGGCAGCAAGCAGCAGGCACGCAGCAGGCAGTAAGCAGGCAGGCAGCAGCAGGCAGCAAGCAGCAGGCAGGCAGCAGGCACCTATTAGGAGGCAGGAGGCAGAGGCAGGAGGCAGGGGCAGCAAGCAGCAAGCAGGTAGGAGGCAAGCTGCAGGCAGGCGGCAGCAGGCAGCAAGCAGGCAGGCAGGCAGGCGGCAGGCAGGCAGCAGCAGGCAGCAAGCAGGCAGGCAAGAGCAGGCAGCAAGCAGGCAGGCAGGTAGGCTGCCCGCAGTAAGCAGGCAGGCGGCAGCAGGCAAGCAGGCTGCAGGCAGGCGGCAGCAGGCAGTAAGCAGGCAGGCAGGCAGGCTGCAGGCAGTAGGCAGGCAGGCGGCAGTAGGCAGGCAGAAGGCAGGTTGCAGACAGGCGGCAGGCAGGCGGCAAGCAGGCAGGCAGGCAGACTATAGGCAGCAAGTAGTAGGCAGGCAGCAGGCAGTAAGCAGGCAGGCAGGAGGCAAGCAGGTGGCAGGCAGCAGGCAGCTGGCAGGAGCGGTCTGAGGCCTGCGTGTGGCGGCTTGCTGCACGAGGCTACAGGCTGCGCGTGGCTACGGGCAGTGCGCGCGGCCGTAGGCTACGGACGGCGACGGACTGCGCGAGCTGTGGGCTGCCTGCAGCTGCGGGCTGTGCGTGGCTACAGCGTGCGCGGCTGCATTCTACGTGCGGTTGCGGGCTGCGCTGGGCGACGGGCCGCACGTGCGCAGCTGCGGGCTGGTCGCTACGCTACGGGCTACACTGGGCGACGGGCCGCTCTGGCGTGGCCTAATTTGGTTTCGCACGGGCGGCGTAAGGGGGGGGCGCACAGGTGGGGCCGAAACGGGCTACGCGGGCTGCTGAGACGGCGCACGTGGAAAAAAAAAAGGACCGCCCGAGGCGCGCGCGGGCAGCCGAGGCGCGCGTAGGCGCTAGGTAAGATAATCGTGGTGGGCCCTAATCGTAGGTCCTAAGGACCTATGCTCTATACCATGTTAAGAAACTTACGGGAAAAGTGTGATTGACTATCGAGAGAGTTTGATACAAAGTGAAAACCCAAGGGGTTGTACCCCACAGTAAGTACCCCACTAAGCCTACCCCAAACTATAACACATATATGCATATGTTTGACAGCCCGCTCATACGAGTTTTCGGTCAAGACACCACGAGTCTCGGCACTGCCGCCACTTCACCATCCTACACAACAATCCGCAACTGGTGCAAGGAGGCATTCCAAAAGATCGGCTTAGGTCTCGAGCATCTCGGCACCCACTCCTTTCGCAAAGGCGCAGCCACTGCCGCCGCCAACTCAGGAGTACCAGATCGCTTTTTGAAATAATTGGGACGGTGGCGCAGCGATACTGCCAAGGAGATGTACATCACCCCGGCGGTCGATCAGCTGGTCGAAGCGTCTCGACACGTTCAAGACCCGGTACGAGCCTCGTCACCAGTGCAACACTCAGCGGCCCTGATGCGACGACCACAACCTCCACTGCACATGTCTCAGAAGACCCATTTGAAATGAGACGATGCCATTGCTACATGAAAGAAAGCAAGCTTTCTAAATATGAATATTTTTAAAAGTGTAACGCTTTTCAAAATTTCGTATTTTGAAAGCGAAGCAGTCTGTAATGTAGGAATGGGCAGCGACGAACCGCGCTATACGCCCGTTTTGGAGTACAAAACGTGGGCTGGAGGTCATTTCCCTCCACCCACGTCTCTCATTTTCAAACGGTTTAGCCGATTTTCCCGCCCACCCACCCCTTGAAATGTGTTAGCACATTAGTCTGATAGGCTGCTTGGATTTCAAATTGTACTAAACCCATTTGAAATGAGACGATGCCATTGCTACATGAAAGAAAGCAAGCTTTCTAAATCACTACATTTAAAGGCAGGCAAACCGGCCGCGGTTTTAGTTAGAACCAGCCAAGGGAACCGACTCGACCACGTCGCAAGCCACTTCTCGTACGCATCCTCATACACATCGTCAATGAGCTGAGCGAGGTTGAGTTTCCACCGCGGCTTTTCCAGGTTAGACGGCCCAGCCCGGTTGTTGTCGCCATCAGTGGTTGCAGAAGACTTCTCGAAGCTGAGCGTTGCTTGCTTCAGGCGGCTGTTCCGTGCCACATCCTTAGGAGTGGGGGTCACTGTGTTGTTGTGTGGAGCAGACCCAACTGTAGGCTCGAGGGGCGTTGCATCGATAGAATCAGCCTCGCTCAAGTCGACGGGTGGAGGGTTGTCTGGGGCCGACTTAGCAACAGGTGGGGAACGGGGCCCCTTATCGCGAGCTAGAGACCTAAGCAGTAGATCTAACCCTGTTCTAGCATCTTCGAGCGCGGTCTCACAATCGTCGTCCTCGTCATCGGCCACGAGGCCCTCCTGAACAGCCATAATGTTCGCCTGGGAGCGTGCCGAGCAGAAATGAGGACGCCCAGACACTCACGCAGAAATCAGACTGGAAGAGGCTTGGTACGGGGTGCATGAAAGCGATGGAGATGATGGCCCCTTCGAACATCAAGAAACCCCAACGTGTGGGTGCCCCTTTGCCTACCATGCACGGCATCTACGAGGCGCAGCTAGCGCTGCGCTGGTGTGTGCAGTGACGTGTGGCTGCACGAGGCTGTACAGAACGTTCATGTTCAGGAAGAGGGTTGAGTGCGCTGTCGAAAGCTGCCTTCTCAACCAATCGGCAACTCACGTTTGTGTGACCTATTGCCAACGGGGAACGAACCGCGCCGCACCACGTCGCTGCCCGCCAAATATTGGCTGTATTCGATGTACTGGCGGGCTTGACAGAACGATTATGTAAATGGAGCGGTGATCACGGCAATCCCCGCAGATCTCGGGTTCTCGAATTCAGCGTTGGTTCGCGTTTCTAGTCTGACGCATCGGAGTACAGTGCAAAAAAAAAGCTGAAAAAACAGCCTCCCCTTATAAAAAAAACCTGAACATTCAGAGTTCACATAAAAAAAAAACCTGAACTTTCAGCATTACAACAAAAAAAAGGCTGGAAAATCAGAGTTTTTAAGGCAAATCAGCGAAATTTCGCTGACTTCTGGGGGCCTGATGATTACAGAGGAATATGAAAGATTATATTTTAACTGTTTTGCTGTTGCGGTTCGATACAGTGACGACTCTGGTAACTGCTCAGTATCGAGTCAGTTATGCGTCCTTGCTGTCGCACTGCATTTTTCGTCAGGTCAAAAGTCAGTTTCGTGTCGATACTTCGATTACTTCAGAAGCGTGAAGTTATTGTTTCCAACAAAAACCCCATCTACCGTAATTAAAAAAGAGCCACCATCTTCTCTAAATATACCCCCGTGCAGCCTGCACATCATCCAGCCTGGCCTGCTCAAACACATAATACATGGACAGATTCTTCATCTTGTCCCCCTGCTGATGCAAAATACACGCCATGCCGCCTGTGCTCTTTGCACGCACCATCGCCTCTCCACCCTTCCCCACCACTTCAAACTCCTCCCAAGGATACCCACCCAGGTGCGTGAACAGCGTGTTGTAATGATCCAGCTTCATGAACGGAGCAGCCATGACAGACGGAGCATCCTTCTGCCCCGCCTCCATCGCCTCGCTGATCACCTTCTCTTCTGACGCGGGCGGCAGCCGGTGGAACGGCGACATGGTCGTGTTGTACCGCACGGGGCGCGGGTTGCGCCACGGCTTGCGGAACGGCGAGTCGGCGAATCGCTCCTGGGCGGCAACAGCCGCAGTGACGCTACCCATGCTGCTGAGAGCGGATTCAAAGTCGCTGGCTTCAGGGTAGGGCACGCGGGGGAGGTGCCTGAAGAGGTACTGCTGGCCGATAAACCCGAGGGTGTATGCACGCTGGTCTTGCATGCAGTCACCCACGTATGTCGCGTCTATGATCTTAGCCAGGGCCCAAGCGTATCCCACATAGGCTCCGGAGTTCAGAAACCAGTTCTTTGTCTCGTTGATTTTCCGAGGGTAAAACACCTCGATTTTCCGCCAGTCCGGGTAGCAGAAGATCTCCCCTCCGAATGCCACGGGCGCATTGAGGGAGAGAAACGCCTCCACGAGATTCTCCGGGCGGCAGTGGGGGCCTGGCATGAGGAAGGCGTCGTCGGCGTCGGTGGAAATGACGATGCGGTCGGGCGGCAGCGAGCGGAGGTAGTCGCGGATAGTCCGCATGCGGCCGCCCTGGCCTCTCCAGGGGACGCCCACCCCCACCACGGCGAACGGAATGGCCACCATGTGCGCGAAATCCGCCATTCGAACCATGCTGAGTCCGCAGTCAGAAGAGTAGATGATCCACTCCACGCGGCAGGAGGAGTAGGAGTATTTGCCATGTGGCACGGGATGCATATCCCAGGGGTCCACGTCAGCGTCGTATTTTACCGCGCAGCCGTCCCTTCCCGGATGCTCCTTGAGCTGCAGCCGATGCAGCACCCGGCCTCGCTCCACTCCGGCCTCGCCCCTCTTAATCGCCGCTTTAACTATGTGCGAGCACGGCACGCCATGCGACGACGGCACCGCGAGCTTGACCCAGTGGCCCATGGGCTGATTCACGCACGAGTCCCAGTGGTCCCTAAACTCCTCGACACGTGGCGTGAGATTAGTGGCCTTCAGGGCCCAGTAGCTCACGCTGAGGAAGGCGATGATGGCGAGGCAAGCGAGGAGGCATGTAACGCGGATGATCGTGCCTAGGAGGCGGGAGGAGAGGAAGGAGGGAGAGGAGGAGGAGGAGGAGGAAGACGAGAAGGACACTGGGGATACAGCCATTGCGCGTGCTGATACACGGAAGTTGACGAGACGTAACTTGTAAGACGGTTGAAATGACGAGACTACGAGACCAGCGGAAAGAGGTTTTTAAGAACGCGCGGTGGGAGGGATGGATGCGGCGATGAAACTCCTGAGGAAATGTCGCGAGCGACTGATTGTTGCGAGAGAGAATGGCGACTGAATGAGGTGGAGAGGAGCACGATAAGGATTACAGCGCATTTCGCATTTCGCACGTCTTGGGATAGTCCTGCAGCTTCGAACCGCGAATCGCGGCCCGACCGCAATGAAAGCAGCACTGAGAGATGTAGAACGACGAGCCCTGGTACCTAAAGACTGGCCAAGGAGGCTATTTTAGGTCTGCGGCATGGTGTGGTGTGAGATAGAAATGGCGGAGATTGGATGTTGCCTGTTTGGTTGGATAACAAAAGCTGCGAAAATAGTTGTGGTAGGCTCGTGAATGCTGTCGCTAAGTTAGAAGTGTCGTGACGCGGTCGTCTTCGGGTAACAATAGGGTGTTTCCGGTCGAACGAAAACAGAAGTGCCTTCACGCTATCGCCCTGTCCACTTTCCTACTCAGATCTCCAGCGTGTTACCCTCAATCCTAGCCCAGTGCCACTGCGACGAGGCTCGCAGGTTACCAAATCAACTCGGCTCGAATTTCTCGCTGATATGCTGGTCCATCCCTCAAAAAGTCACAATACCCCTCTCCTATGATCCCGTATCTCTGGTCCCCGCCACCAGAGATGTTGCAGATAGCAGCACTGGACTGGAACCAAATTCCCAAGTAGTGTTTTGTTGCGCCTGCCTGCTTGATCAACAATTCCGTAGCACCGCACGCCACCGCACTGTATCCCTCCGCGAAATGATCGCTCGCGCCGCGACTCTGGCTTCGCGCGTCCCCCGCTCCAGAGTGCTCGTGCCGCTGCCAGCATTTCCTTCTGCGCGTCGTCTGAATTCTTCCTTTCCTGTAGCTTCCATCGCGAGCGATTTGATCGCCTGTGTCACTCCTAGCACGCTTACTTTGCACATAGTAGTCTTAATTGCCTCCGTTCGTCCAGGTCCAGTTTCAGTAATCTTACTCGCCTGTTCACGCATTCGCGCGCTGAATTGATCGCGACTCGTCGTCTAAACGAAGCGGGCGTAACGGCAAGTGCGGCAAATTCCGTCCATCGCGCTAGCGAGGAAGATTCTAACGAGGACGAATCGAAACCTCCCCCCGCGAGCGGGCCGACCAAGACCGTGAAGATATTCTGCGCTAAGTGCCAGCAGCAGCTATACCGGTACCGCAAGGGCGGCAACGGGGCATTAGTTAAGTGTTTCGTAGAGCGCATTGCGGAGGATTTCACGGCGGGGGACATGAAGTGCCCCGCGTGCGGGTCGGAGTTTGCGCGAATGCGCATGATCAAGGGGAAGCCCGCGCACAAGATCGTCGGGGGGAAGGTGTTCATGCGCAAGTGAGCGCGCGCAGGCGCAATTGAGCGCGCGCAGGCGCAAGTGAGCGCGGACAGGCGCAAGTGCGAGTAGTGAGCGCGACAGGCCTGGGGAGCGCGGAAAGAGTTGCGCGGAGCCCTTTGGGTCCACCTTTGCTGCCCTGTTGTTCTGCTACAGTGCTGCAGTCCTACGTTGCTGCTCTGCCTCGTCATCGCCACTTCATTGAGTTCGCGAGTCCGCCATGAGGCGAGCCTCGGTGAGAAGAACCGCCCTCCTCCTTGCCAACCCAGCTCGCAATGATAGCACTGCTGGTTCACGGCATTTCACGGGCTATTAACGCATTTTTTTCTGGCTTTCAACAGAGTTTTACCGGCTTTCAACCACATTTTGCTGGCTTTGACGACATGATATGGGCTTTCACTACATTTTACTGACGTCTGACACAACGCCCTTTTGCATACCTCCCAAAGTGTCTGTCTCTTCCCTCCTGCCAGCACGGTCCCCTCTAGCACTTGCATCCTCATGATTGCTCTCCACAACTCACCTATCTCACCTTCGTCATCCCCCCCTCCCCCCTCTCCTCCCTGTCGCCAATCCTTTCTCTCGATTGCGCTGCGCCCCCAGCAACCAGCGCATACCGCTCTGGTCCTCGGCCAGTCACTGCAAGGCTTCTCCCCCCTCGCTGCCGCTGCTGCTGTCACCATCCTCTCCCTTTCCTCCCTGCCACTCTTCCCTCTTTCCCCCATCTCCCCTCCCAGCAACCAGCGCACACCTCGCTGGTCCTCGGCCAGTCACTGCAAGGCTTCTCCCCCCTCGCTGCCGCTGCTGCTGTCACCACGCCACTCACCTCCTCCCCCTCCTGCTCGTACCCCTCCTCCGCCGCCTCACGCAGCAGCACCAGCAGCACCAGCGGTACCAGCAGCAGCAGCAAGGGCAACAAGGCGGGGGAGTGGCGTGTGTGGCGGTACCTCCGCCACCGATGGCGCTGGCTCTCCGCCTCCTCCTCTCTCCCCTCCTCCTCCCTCTCCTCGTCCCACCATGGGCAAGCGCGTGGCAGCAGCAGTTTTGGGCTTCATTTTGGGTTGGGTGGTGCGTCACTTGGAACCAGCAGTAGTGGCTTTGGTAGGGCAGGGAGGGGGGTGGTGGTGGAAGGAAGGAGAAGGCGCGTGCGGCGGTGGGTGGTTGTGCTGGCGGCAACGGTGCTACTGGTAGTGCTAGCAGGTGCTGCGGCTGTGGGTGTGCGGCGTGCTGCCTCATTGATCCCCGCTCATGATAGCCAGGCCATGAGTGGTCAAAATACAGGTGAGGGAACATGAGGCAGTGGCGCTAATACTAGTAGTGACGCTGGGGGTGGTTCAGGGGGCGGTGCCAGCAGGTGCTGTAGTGGTGGGTGTGCACTATGCTGCCTCGTTGATTTTCTCCCCTGGCAGCCTGCGTGACACAAGTGGTCAAAGTTTAGTTTTGAGTCGATTCAAAACCAGCAGGTGTTGTAGTGGTGGGTGTGCACTATGCTGCCTCGTTGATTTTCTCCCCTGGCAGCCTGCGTGACATGAGTGGTCGAAGTGCAAGTGAGGCATTATGAGGCAGCGGTGCCAATTGTGGCGTTGGTGGTGGTGCTGGGGGTGGTGCTAGCTAGCTTGCAGGTGCTGCGGCTGTGGGTGTGCGCCGTGCTGCCTCATTGATCCCCTCCCATGGAGGCCAGGCCACGATCGGTCAAGTGCAGCAGGTGAGGGAATATGAGGTAGTGGTGCTGATACTGGCGCTGCTGGTGCCAGCAGGTGAGGGAATATGAGGTAGTGGTGCTGATACTGGCGCTGCTGGTGCCAGCAGGTGGCTGTGGGTGTGTGCCGCACTGCTCATGGCCAGGCCAGGGGCCAGAATGCGGAGGCCAGTGTAGAAAAGAGGAGGTGCCACAATGAAAGTTGTGGAGTGGGTTGGTTGCTTTGATCTCCTGGGAGAAACTGACGGGGGGAGGAGTGAGAGGGGCGAGAGAAATAGGCAAGGCACGCAGGGCAAGGAGCATTCATGTGCTTGTGACTCGTCCCTCCCGCGAGATCCAGACTCGTGACTCATCACTCGTGACTTGTCCCTCCCTGTCAGAATCTGAAACTCTTTACCTCTTCTTGTATCGCTGCTTCTGCCTGATGCCCTGATCACTTTTGCCACCCCATAGGTACAGTCACAGCCAGCAACAGGCTTCCAGGCTTCACATCCCATGTGGATTCTACTGCCAAGCACTCGGGGAGCAGCAGCAGCAGCAGTGGCAGCGTGAATAAAAGCCATGGAGTGGCGATTGATCGAGGGATAGAGGAGGAGGGGTCGATGCTGGGTTTGGCTGTAGACTGGAGCGAGGAGGAGCGGGGGAGGATGGAGAGCAGAGGAAGGGTAGGAGCGGGGACAAGAGGGGAGGATAGAGGGGAGGAGAGAGGGGAGGATACAGGGGAGTTTTGGGTGAGGCGGCGGGTGGGGGGAGTGAGAAGATCTGGGAAGAGAGTGGGTAAGGAGCATGTGGTGAGAGGGAGGAGGAGAGCGGGCGGCAGAGGGAAGGACGGAGGGGTGAGCGGTAGGGGGTTGCAGGAAAGGAGGAGGAAGCGAAGAAGAGGGAGAGGAGGGGGTGGGGAAGGGAAAGAGGGAGGGAGAGTGAGGGAGTGTGAGGGGGTGATGGTGGGGGAGTGGCCAGGAGTAGATGGGTTGGCAGCAGTGGGGGCACTCATGGCTGTGCGGGGGAGGCGAGTGAGGGAGGGGAGGGGAGGGGAGAGGGGCGGGGCGGAGAGTGAGAGCAGTGGTGGTGCCGGTGTTGGGGGTCAGAGCAGCAACAGCAGTGGTGTTCCTTCCCTTGGGTGTGTATATATAGGCCATCATCCCTTGGGTGTGTATATATATGCCATCATCCCTTGGGTGTGTATATATAGTCCATCATCCCTTGGGTGTGTATATATATGCCATCATCCCTTGGGTGTGTATATATATGCCATCATCCCTTGGGTGTGTATATATATGCCATCATCCCTTGGGTGTGTATATATATGCCATCATCCCTTGGGTGTGTATATATAGTCCATCATCCCTTGGGTGTGTATATATATGCCATCATCCCTTGGGTGTGTATATATATGCCATCATCCCTTGGGTGTGTATATATATGCCATCATCCCTTGGGTGTGTATATATATGCCATCATCCCTTGGGTGTGTATATATATGCCATCATCCCTTGGGTGTGTATATATATGCCATCATCCGACGTTTCGTCTTCTGTTTGTTTGCTTCATGTTCTGCAACTTGCTCTCAAGTTTGTTTCGGGGATACATTGCATTGAAGCTGCTGATATACTTGCTTCGGGAGGATCTCAAAGGCGATTCAATATGGAAGATTGATTTACAGCTGCTGCGTCGTCAACTGCATGCGTGCCCCTTCTCCTCCCTTCCTCCTCTCCTCTCCTCCTCTCCTCTCCTCCTCTCCTCCCCTCCTCTCCTCCTCTCCCCTTCTTCTCCGCTGCATCACCCACCCTGCGCCTCCTCTCCTCTCCTCTTCCACAACCAACATCAACCATCATCAACCATCATCAACCATCATCAACCAACATCAACCATCATCAACCATCATCAACCAACATCAACCATCATCAACCAACATCAACCAACATCAACCATCATCAACCAACATCAACCATCATCAACCATCATCAACCAACATCAACCATCATCAACCAGCATCAACCATCATCAACCAACATCAACCAACATCAACCAACATCAACCAACATCAACCATCATCAACCAACATCAACCAACATCAACCAACATCAACCATCATCAACCAACATCAACCAACATCAACCATCATCGTATCTCTCCCTCCCTCCCCAACCTGCAAACGTCTCTCCCCTCTTCTCTCAGTTCCTTTGCCGTGGTGGGTCCTCACCTCTCCCATGCGCCCTTTGCGCCTCACATCTCCACCCCTCTGCACCTTCCTTCGCCCCTCCCCCAATACCATCCTCCCCACCCATTCCCACTCCCAATCAGTTCCTGTGCCGTGGTGGGTCCTCACCTCTCCCATGCACCCTCCGCGCCTCACTTTGGGGCAGCCATTGACTCCCACTCCCTCGTGCTGCGCATGGGGCAGCTCACCCCGCCCACCCGCCTGCAGGTCTATGTGTGAGTGAGAGGAAGTTGCATTGCATGCGCTGCGTGCATGCATGCATGCAGTGTGTTAGTGCATGCACGTGTCAGCTCACACTCCCTCGTGCTGCGCATACACCCCGCCCACCCGCATGCACGCCTACCTGTGAGTGCATTATCTGAGTCATCTAAAAAAAGGACGCATACCTGTGAGTGCGTTTTTTTAGTCGTTTAGAAAAAGCACGCCTACGTGTGAGTGCGTTTTTTGAGTCACTAAGAAAACAAAATAGCATGCCTATGTGTGAGAGCGAAGAGCATCAATTCTCTGAGTGCTTGCATTGGTGCCTGGAGGCCTGTGTGTGAACGCGTAGAAGATCAGTGTGTTAGAAATAGTCAGTCAACACTTTGTACTATATTCTATATCAGTTAGGTTACTTTGTAGGTTGGGTGTAGATTTGTAATCCCAACCCTATCTGGTTGGGATTCTCTCGTAATCCTGCAAATCTGCCAACTCACCAATTGGAGATTTGCTAGGATTCCCATCCCATCCTTTCCCTAGCTTTGCTCAACCCAACCCTGTTTGTACTTAAGGCCTAGTGCCTTCCTTATCAAGCAATCAGTTCAGTTCCAATTCTATCATGGTATGAGAGCTCGTAAATTCCGCTCACGCGGAATCCGATCCTTGGCGTCCCGATGGTTCTCTCCTTTTAGGCTATGCCTATTTCGGTTCCCGGCTCCTACGCTTAGCGTTTTTCAGAAACTTCACATCGTCGCTCCGGTCAAGCGCGCATTCGGCTTCCTTCATCGCGCATCTCGTTTTTCAACGGCGACATTCTCAGCTTTCGACTTCCTTCATCGTAAGCTTGTGGTTTTTATATCTCCGTGGCAATTTTCTCATCTTCTTAACTTCGAACAGGTTTTCAGCGGCGCAGCGGAACAGGTCCAGCGGCGCAGCGGAACAGGTTTTCAGCGGCGCAGCGGAACAGGTCCAGCGGCGCAGCGGAACAGGTTTTCAGCGGCGCAGCGGAACAGGTCCAGCGGCGCAGTGGAACAGGTTTTCAGCGGCGCAGCGGAACAGGTTCAGCGGCGCAGCGAAACAGGTTCAGCGGCACAGCGGAACAGGTTCAGCGGCGCAGCAGAACAGGTTCAGCGGCGCAGCAGAACAGGTCCAGCGGCGCAGCAGAACAGGTCAGCGGCGCAGCAGAACAGGTCAGCGGCGCAGCAGAGAAGCGGAACAGGGGCAGCAGCGAAGCAGAACAGGGGGCATTGGCGAAGCAGTATATCAGGGTATAGTACGGGCATTCTATTGCCAAAATCGCGTTTCGAACTTCCTCAATTTCCAAAATCACCCGAACTCCGCTCCGCTTCGCTCCGCTACGTATCGGAGACTTTAGCGCTGCGCTCCGCGCGAAATGGCAACTTCAACTTCCACTCTCGTCGGAAACCTCATCATCCTTAACCTCGCTCCCAACGGCACGAGCACCAATTTCGGGGAGTGGGGCTATGGAGTGGAGAAGCACCTCCTTAGCTCGGAGCTCAAGGGGATTTGCCTCAAGGACATCCTCCTCAATCGCGGCAAGGGGAAGATGCCTCTCCCTCCCGATCCTCTCGGCGAAGGCGCCACTGCCACAGCCAAGCTTGCTTTCGACGCTAAAACCACCAAGTATGAGACGGACTTCAGTCTCTGGGAGCAGGCGGATGCGGCAGTGATTAGGGTTTTCATCACCACCACCCCAGTCGAGTTAGTCAAGTCCTACCGCACCTTCCGCTCTGCGCATGACATTTGGAAGTACCTCCAGGATCGCTTTCATGACAAAACTGCCGTGGGAGTTGCAATCCTCATTCCTCGCATGTTCCAAATCCGCCTTGAGGAATGCCCGGGCATGGCAGACTACATCTCTGAAATCCGCAACATCCATGAGGAGCTCAAGGACATTGGGATCACCTTCCCCGAACAGGCACCTGCTGCTGGGCTTCTCGTCGGACTCACCCCGGCCTACAACGTCACCAGTTCCATGCTCAAGCAGCTCCCCACCAAGGAACTCACCTTCGAGAAAGTCGCTTCGGCCCTTCTCTCTGCCGAAAAGGACCTTGCAGCCCAGGCATCCGTCAATGCTGTGCGCTACTCCCCTGGCATCCCATTTCGTTCCCAGCAGGGCCAGAGGCGCAACTCCTTTCCCCCATGCCAGTACCTCATTAGGAAGGGTCCACGTGCGGGGCAGAAATGCAACGGCACCAACCACCCTGAGGCAACTTGCTTCAAGAAGCGAGATGACGAGTGGTATGACGTCCACGGTGTCTCCAAGAACAAGCGCCCTCCCAACTGGGCACCACCCCGTCGCGTGAACCAGGTCGAGGCAGTGGAGGAACCTGCTCAGGCATTTGCTAGTGCCCCATCTGATGTTCGCCTTAACCTGTTGTTCTCTGGTGCTGGTCTTCTTAATGAGAAGGGGTCGCAGTACATCGGTGTTTCAACGACACAGGGAATTGAGTTCATACTAGACAGTGGTGCCACACAGTGCTTAAAGACCAAACTGCCTTCGTTTCCTACCAGGCTCCCACCTCACTCCTTGGAGCCGATTCTAGCTTCTCCATCCAATGCCATGGGTCCTCCACAGTTTCCTGTCCAGCTTTCCCATCCGGCACAGTCACTGGCATCTGTGCCCCTACCCTCCGCTACAACCTTCTTGCACAGCGGAAAATCCAACACGCAGGCGTGATCACCATCTTTCCCAATGATGTTGACTACTGTGACATGTTTGACGCCAAAACCGGACTCCATCTTGCCCGCTTCACCCTCAACTCCAACAACTTGTACACACTAGTTGTACCTCCCGTTCAAACATGCTCCCTCACCAACCTTCCGCTTCCATTCTCAGACTCCCCCTCATGTCACTGCCGCCTCCTCAATGACAAGACTATGCTATTTCATAACCGCCTCGGCCACATCAACTTCCGCGCACTTTCAGACCTTGCCACCAAACAACTCCTTCATAGGCTGCCCGCCTCACTTCCACAACCCCCCTCTCTTTCTGGACCACCTTGCCTTGACTGTGCACAGAGCAAGCTTCGGGAACAGCCTCATCCTCCCACTGAGTCCACCTCTACCGCACCTCTTGATCGCGTACACATGGACCTTTGGGGTCCAGCTCCTGTTCGTTCCCGTGGCGGACACTTCTACTTCCTTGTCATCGTTGATGACTATTCCCGCTATGTGTCCGTTCACCTTCTCACCGCCAAGTCTGAAGCCCCAGCCATTATCATGGAATGGGCAAGGCAGGGTCATTCACACTTCAAAACCAAAATCAAGATTCTTCACTCTGACGGTGGCGGTGAATTCCGCAACAACACTCTCAAAGCTTTCTGCTCTACTGAGGGTATTCGTCAGACCTTCACCCTCCCAGACAGCCCTCAACAGAACGGTGTTGCTGAGAGCCGAAACCGCATCCTGGTGCAGATTGCTCGCTGCCTCCTCACTCATGCTTCCGCCCCTCCCTCCCTTTGGGGATACGCCATGCTCCATGCTGCCGCCCTCCACAATCTCCATCCTCATCCTCACCACACCCACACCACCCCCGCAGAGCTGTGGACGGGTCAAAAGCCGTCCGTCCGCCCTCTTCGTGTATGGGGGTGCACTTCCTATGTTCTCCTCAACTCCCAAGCCCATCGTGCAGCTGGCGGCAAGCTTGCTCCGAAAACAATCACGTGCGTGTACCTCGGGCACAACTCGGACTCGCCAGACTACCTCTTCCTCCATCCTACCTCCAACAAACTTTATCGCAGCCGAGATGTTTTCTTCGATGAATCCCACCCGTTCTACCCCTCCTCCACAGTTTCTCCTTCTCCTCCGCCTCCTTCTCTTACTTGGGCTGACTTTGACAGCCTTCCTCCTGCCACCACTCCATCTCCTCCTCTTCCTGCTCCTTCCACAGTTTCCGACCCCCCGTCACCCGCTTCCCCTTCCAGCACCACGCAGTCTCCCCCGCTCCTTCCCGCCCCCGAGCCCATTCCTCTCAAAACCTACCAACGCCGTCCTCCTGCTGCTGCTCCTCCTCCTGATCCAGCTCCTGCTCCTGATCGAGCTGCTGTTCCTGATGCTGCCACTACACCTGCTGCTTCTCCTCCTCCAGCTCCGCCTCCCTCCCCCATCGCTGGTCGCACCCGCTCGCGCAAAGCTCCCAAGCCTCTTTCCCTTTCCATTCGTGTCTCTCTCAATCCTCCGTTGGGGGTGATTATTCGCTCATGCCCTCCCTTCTTGAGGACAGACATGAGGAGTTGATTGAGATTGACTCAGCCATACACGCACTCTGCTCCCTCTTTCCAGATATCGCAGAATCTCCCACCCTCGACTTCTCGGACAACCCCTCCATCCCCACACCTCTCACCTATGCTGAAGCAGTTTCTGGTCCTCACGCCGCTCAATGGCTAGGGGCCATTGTCGCAGAGTGTGAGGCCTTCATTCACACAGGAACTTTCACAGATGTCTCTCCTCCCTCCGGCGTCAACATTGTGAAGGGAAAATGGGTTTTCCGGGTGAAACAACTTCCAGACGAATTTCCCGTCTTCAAAGCCCAGTACTGTGCCAAGGGATTTACCCAAAAGCATGGACTGGACTTCTTTGAGACATTCTCTCCCACCGCCAAACCTCCCACACTGCGCACCCTTCTCGATGTTGCCGCTCGAGATGACATGGAGGTTGACTGCATGGATGTGTCCTCTGCGTTTCTGCAAGGGATCCTTCGAGAGGAAATCTACATGGAGCGGCCCGAAGGATTTCCAGCTCCTTTTCCACCAGGCACTGTATGGAAGCTGAATCGACCAGTCTATGGCCTCAAGCAAGCACCCCGGGAATGGCACAACAAGCTCAAGAGCACCTTAGGGTCCCTCGACTTTCACCCATCCACCTCTGACCCCAGCCTCTTCATCCGAGCAACACCATCCCGCTTCTTCATCTTGGTTTATGTCGATGACATGATCCTTGTCACCAAGGATCAGACTGAGCTGGCAGCAGTCAAAACCGCACTTGGTGAGAAGCTGGCTATGAAGGATCTTGGGAAACTGACGAACTATCTGGGCATGGAAATCACACGTGATCGCACGGCCCGCACCATCACCCTCTCGCAGAAGTTCTACATCAACAACGTTCTGACCAGGTTCAAGATGCAGGAAGCAGCTTCAATGCCCACCCCACTCTCTCTGCAGCACCAACTCACTGCACCCTCTGTTCCCTCACCTGAGCCCTGTGATGAGGCTTACCCCGAGCTCGTCGGTTCCCTCATGTACGCGATGATGTGCACTCGACCAGATTTGGCCTATCCAGTCAGTGTCCTGTCTCGCTACGTTGCACCTGGTCGCTTCACGAGCCACCACTGGTCTGCCGCCAAGCGGGTCCTCCGCTATCTCAAAGGCACACAGGACTATGTGCTCACTCTTGGCGGCTCTTCCCCTGTTCGCCTTGAGGGGTACAGTGACTCGTCCTATGCTGATGACCAGAGTGATCGGCGCTCTTCCCAAGGATATTGCTTTACCCTTTGCAGTGGGGTTGTCAGTTGGCGCTCCACTCGGTCGTCTTCCGTCTCACTGTCGACCTGTGAGGCAGAGCTGTATGCCGGGACCATGGCTGCCCAAGAGGCCCGTTGGCTCTCCTTCTTGCTGGCAGAACTTGGGTATCCTCAACCAGCCCCAACGCTTTGGTGTGACAACGAGAGCACCATTCATCTCACAAAGGACCCCGTCTTCCACGGCCGCACCAAGCACATTGAGGTCCGTCACTACTTTCTTCGTGAGCTGGTGCAGCGCGAGCAGCTGAAGGCTGAACACATTGCCTCCGACTGCAACCTTGCTGACTTGTTTACCAAGTCTCTTGTTCGCCAAGACCACTACCGCCTCCTCTCGTCCATGGGTGTTGGGCCGCCATGTGGCTGAAGTGTTGTCAGCCTAGGGGGTGTGTTAGAAATAGTCAGTCAACACTTTGGTGCTCGTGCCGTTGGGAGCGAGGTTAAGGATGATGAGGTTTCCGACGAGAGTGGAAGTTGAAGTTGCCATTTCGCGCGGAGCGCAGCGCTGAAGTCTCCGATACGTAGCGGAGCGAAGCGGAGCAGAGTTCGGGTGATTTTGGAAATTGAGGAAGTTCGAAACGCGATTTTTGGCAATAGAATGCCCGTACTATACCCTGATATACTGCTTCGCCAATGCCCCCTGTTCTGCTTCGCTGCTGCCCCTGTTCCGCTTCTCTGCTGCGCCGCTGACCTGTTTTGCTGCGCCACTGGACCTGTTCTGCTGCGCCGCTGAACCTGTTCTGCTGCGCCGCTGAACCTGTTCCGCTGCGCCGCTGAACCTGTTCCGCTGCGCCGCTGAACCTGTTCCGCTGCGCCGCTGAAAACCTGTTCCGCTGCGCCGATGGACCTGTTCCGCTGCGCCGCTGAAAACCTGTTCCACTGCGCCGCTGGACCTGTTCCGCTGCGCCGCTGAAAACCTGTTCCGCTGCGCCGCTGGACCTGTTCCGCTGCGCCGCTGAAAACCTGTTCGAAGTTAAGAAGATGAGAAAATTGCCACGGAGATATAAAAACCAGAAGCTTACGATGAAGGAAGTCGAAAGCTGAGAATGTCGCCGTTGAAAAACGAGTTGCGCGATGAAGGAAGCCGAATGCGCGCTTGACCGGAGCGACGATGTGAAGTTTCTGAAAAACGCTAAGCGTAGGAGCCGGGAACCGAAATAGGCATAGCCTAAAAGGAGAGAACCATCGGGACGCCAAGGATCGGATTCCGCGTGAGCGGAATTTACTAGCTCGATACCATGATAGAATTGGAACTGAACTGATTGCTTGATAAGGAAGGCACTAGGCCTTAAGTACAAACAGGGTTGGGTTGAGCAAAGCTAGGGAAAGGATGGGATGGGAATCCTAGCAAATCTCCAATTGGTGAGTTGGCAGATTTGCAGGATTACGAGGGAATCCCAACCAGATAGGGTTGGGATTACAAATCTACACCCAACCTACAAAGTAACCTAACCGATATAGAATATAGTACAAAGTGTTGACTGACTATTTCTAACACACTGGATGCGTGCATGCGTGTTTTGCCTCCCACTCCCTCGTGCCAAGCCTGGGGCAGCAATACGCCTGAGGTGGGGGTGAATGGAAGTGGGAACCTCCTTTCCTTGAATCACAACTCCTTGTTGCTCTCTCCTTCCCCCCCCTTATCTCTCCCTCCGCCAACCAGCTTTGGCAGTTGAGTTGACGTGTGGGTGGAGGTGGGAGGGGAAAACGGAGGGGGGGAGCAGCCCTCTCTTTCTCTCCCTCTCTTTCCTCCCTCTCTTTCTCTCCCTCTCTTTCTCTCCCTCTCTTTCTCTCCCTCTCTTTCTCTCCCTCTCTTTCTCTCCCTCTCTTTCTCTCCCTCTCTTTCTCTTCCTGTCTTTCTCTCCCTCTCTTTCTCTCCCTCTCTTTCTCTCCCTCTCTTTCTCTCCCTCTCTTTCTCTCCCTCTCTTTCTCTCCCTCTCTTTCTCTCAAGAGCTCCGTGTATTAGATCCGTACAAGAACAGACATGCATATGGGTATAGAAACTAAAGCAACTCAGCTTCTAAACCCACACATCCTACTCACACCCGTTCCCCCTCTAAGGCAGCTCCAATGTTGGCTTCAGGATGGCAAGGCAGTCCCCAAGGGACATGCCGTCACCCGACAGCCCCACAGGTGGGTTTTCCACCTGAGCCGCATAGTTGCATTTCGTCATGAAGCTCACTGATTGATTGTGCCCGTTGCAGCGCCACGGACCACCGCTGGCGGAACTGATGCAGCAGCTTTGTTGCCTGGTAAGATGAGGGGGAGCTGTCGAAGTGGAACAGGTGGGCTGCGGAGGCCTTATGTCCATCAACTCTTGCTGTTTAGGGGCCGCATTAAAGAGTGTGCGGGCGGCAATGTCGGCTAGCAGTTTGAGGAATTGCGGGACTTTTGCGCACGGGCAGCCATAGGTATCAACGGCCAGAGGGAAGAATCCGACCCACGAGGCCGTTGAGCCTTCGTAGTCGGAAATTTTCTTCTCAGCCGCCTCCCTGGCCGCCCACCCCCTGCCCTTGACCGCGTTGGGGTCCCGTGTGCTAATGGGGTCCGTGATGGTCACGTCCCCTATCCACACCGCTCCTGAGGACTTGTCCCAGATCGCAATGTCGGCCTTCTTCCTGGTGACGGGGCAGAATGCAGTCGTCTCGCTGTGAGTCATAAAGTCAGCGTCGGCGGCCATGCGCACGCACTCATCGCGCAGCTCATTGTGCTTGTTGGTCCTTCCCTTCTCTGTGTCGCAGCGCAGCAGGTGGTTGGGCAGCCGCCTGTCAGTGATTGACACCTCGTTGCGGCAGTCACACGCACCAGGTGCCGAGGAGGGTAACCCCATCCGGAACTGCAGCGCATGCGCAAAGTGAGCCGGGGCAAGGCGTAGTGTCGAGTTGAAGGGAACCGCGTTGAGCCAGTCCCCTGCCCCATACCCTGAGAGCGAAAGCATGCGCTGTGTGTGCCCGCTAAGTGGGTTGAGCGGCATGATGCGTGTAGCTTGCACCTGCTCCGCGTAGCGCAGTCCGTGTACTGCGATTGCCAGCCCATGCTGCAGCTTGACGCCCTTGGGATCAGCTCGGTCACTCTGCAGCAACTCCTTCCCATCGTCCGGCAGCGACTCCTCGCACCTCTCCAACCAGTCAAACAGGGGAGACGTGTTCACGAAGGGTCCCTTCATCTAGATCCGTGTTTCCGCCAAGGCGCCGCCAGCTGGCTCCTCACCCTCTCGCCCTTTCATCTCGCACCTCCAAGGTCCGTGTTTCCGCCAAGTTTCCCTTGCTTCTTTCTCTCCCTCTCTTTCTCTCCCTCTCTTTCTCTCCCTCTCTTTCTCTCCCTCTCATTCTCTCCCTCTCATTCTCTCCCTCTCTTTCTCTCCCTCTCTTTCTCTCCCTCGCTTCTCTTCCTCTTCTGAATTGCAAGCTCTCTCTTGCTCTCTCCCTTCTCCTCCTCGTCTCCCCCTCCCTTCTCATTTCCCCCCTCCCCCATCAGCCTGGGCAGTCTCCTGGATGTGTGGGTGGAAGTGAAGGGGAGAAGGGGAGGGGCCCTTCATAGAAGAACTCACAAGGCCTTCTTTCTCAATCCTCTCTCCCTTTCATCTCTCCCTCCCTCTCGCCCCCCACCAGCCTGGGAAGTCGCACTGATGTGTGGGTGGAGGTGGGGGGGAAGGGAGGAGGGCCCCTTTCCTTTTGAGTCACAAATCCCTCTTTCTCTAACCCTTCTCCCATTTCTCCCTCCCTCCCTTCCCGCACCAGCCTAGGAAGTCGCACTGATGTGTGGATGGAAGTGGGGGGAAGTGGGGGAGGGGGGCTGCACGGCACACACGAGGTGGGGGGAGGGGGTGGAGGAGGGGGCACTGGGAGGGGGCTCACCAAGGGAGTGGGGGGAGGAGGGGGGAGAGGGGTGGGGAGAGGGGTGGGGCGGCGACGCTTGCTGGGGCTGAAGGGCCGATCGGTAGCATACCTACGTGCTGACAGGTGAGAGTGTGGGGTGTGAGAGATTTGGAAGTAAGAGTGTGGGGTGTGAGAGATTTGGGAGTAAGAGTGTGGGGTGTGAGAGATTTGGGAGTAAGAGTGTGGGGTGTGAGAGATTTGGGAGTAAGAGTGTGGGGTGTGAGAGATTTGGGAGTAAGAGTGTGGGGTGTGAGAGATTTGGGAGTAAGAGTGTGGGGTGTGAGAGATTTGGGAGTAAGAGTGTGGGGTGTGAGAGATTTGGGAGTAAGAGTGTGGGGTGTGAGAGATTTGGGAGTAAGAGTGTGGGGAGTGAGAGATTTGGGAGTAAGAGTGTGGGGTGTGAGAGACTTGGGAGTAAGAGTGTGGGGTGTGAGAGATTTGGGAGTAAGAGTGTGGGGTGTGAGAGATTTGGGAGTAAGAGTGTGGGGTGTGAGAGATTTGGGAGTAAGAGTGTGGGGTGTGAGAGATTTGGGAGTAAGAGTGTGGGGTGTGAGAGATTTGGGAGTAAGAGTGTGGGGTGTGAGAGATTTGGGAGTAAGAGTGTGGGGTGTGAGAGATTTGGGAGTAAGAGTGTGGGGTGTGAGAGATTTGGGAGTAAGAGTGTAGGGTGTGAGAAATTTGGGAGTAAGAGTGTGGGGGTGTGATGATGATTTGACTCAGAAGTAAATTTTCTGAAGCTCATGAATCCACTCTGACATACCTGCGTGCTGATAGGTGTGAGGAGTGAGAGAGTGGGGAGTGAGAGTGTGGGGAGTAAGAGTGTGGGAGTGAGAGTGTGGGGAGTGAGAAGTGGGGGGTGCGAGTGTGGGAGTAAGAGTGTGGGGAGTGAGTGTGAGGAGCGATAGTGTGGGGAGTGAGAGTGTGTGGAGTTACACGAACCGGGTCGGCTCAGTTCTGGTCGCATCGGGTGGGGGGGTTGCATCTCAAGCCATCTGTCTGGCGAGCCACGATTGACTGGACTGGAGTACATAGGAGGGTTCACAGGGGGGAGCCTGTGCGTATTGATGTGTGGAGATGCAAGAAGATGAGAGAAGATGGGTGGGGTTGGAATGAGATGTGTGTGAGATGAGGAGAGGAGAGGAGATGAGATGAAACGAGAGTGACACTTTCAGCCTAAAGAGACGTACAAGGGACCTGTCACCATCTCAGGTTAGTAATCTTTTTGTCTACTCATTACTCACGAAAGCTTTTCACTCTTCATTGTATGGCACGAGTCGAATCGAGTCAGCTCGACGTTAGACTGATTGCGTGCTTAGGTCCGACGTTGAGGAAAAGGGGGAGAGCCTAGTCAAGTCGGTGAGACGAGTCAAATCCTTCCCCCCTTCCTCAACATCGGATCTTCCCCTTTTGAGAATTCTCTGAAGGATCTTCTCCGCCAACGTGCGATGAGACAAGTCAAGGCTCCCCTCGCTTGCTCGTGGGTACTGTGGTGGCCATGGTGACCATGTGACCATGTGACCATGGTGACCATGTGACCATGTGACCATGTGGCCATGGTGACCATGTGACCATGTGACCATGTGGCCATGGTGACCATGTGACCATGTGACCATGTGACCATGTGACCATGGTGACCATGTGACTATGTGACCATGTGGCCATGGTGACCATGTGACCATGTGACCATGTGACCATGGTGACCATGTGACCATGTGACCATGTGACCATGGTGACCATGTGACCATGTGACCATGTGACCATGTGACCATGTGACCATGTGACCAGGACTTACTATGTTGAAATCACTTTTGAGAATTCTTTAAAGTGATTCCAACGTTGTATGGTGGCCATGGTGACCACGATTTACTATGTTGAAATCACTTTTGAGAATTCTGTGAAGTGATTCCAACAGTGTGGTGGCCATGGTGACCGTGACGTGACTTGCTGCAAGGCGCCTCATTATCCCCCTTCGCCTTCCCTTCCGCCCTGCACCTTTACTTCCACCCTCCCAAAACCCCCCCACCTCTCGCCCTCCTCTACTCCCCCCCCACCTTCCCACTGCCCTCCAGCTCGGGCCTTCTTGCGTCACCGCCCTGGCTGCCAGCGCTGCAGCAGCTGGGTGTGAGCAAGGGGTACGCGGGCAGGCGACGCGGGGACACGGGTGCAGGGGAGGGGGATGAGGTGAGCGAAAAATAACCAGCAGCATGGACCGTAATGATTCTTCTAAGTGACTTTTGAGTCGACTCAAAAGGCATCTAATTCCCAGCAGCATGGAATTCTTGAGGCGCCTCAAAAACAATTTTAGAGGGGCCTCAATAACCAGCAGCATGGGCTGTAATGATTTTTCTGAGAATTCTCACAAGTGAGACCAAATTGGCATGGACCGTACTAAGACCTGCCTTCCGTTCTGGAGGTGCCTTCAAGATTGTTTTCTGCATGGACCGCGTAAAAACCTATCCTGTGTACCGCAGGGTTTGAAGTTTAGGGTGTCCTGTGTCCACTGCTCCCCATCCCTCCATGCTTCCTGCCCCCATTCCTTCTCCCTCCCACCCTTCCTCTGCTCCCTCTCCCTATTCACCCCGGTCTCCCACCGTCAGGCCATCTTTCTTCCCCCGGCACTAACGGACGAAGCTCGCCGCCTCTTCAACGCCTTTGCCCACCGTTTCCGATGCGCCATCGGTGCTCCCATGCCTGCCCACCATGCCACCTCCGGTGCTGCGTCTAGTGCTACCGCTGCTTCTGTGGCAAGAACTGGGGAGGCAGCAGCAGCAGGGGCAACAAGGGCAGCAGGGGCAGCAGGGGCAGCAGGGACAGTAGGGGAAGCAGCCATCCCCATCCCCATGCCTCGCATGCCCCCGCACTGGCCAGTGCTGTACCTGCTGCTGCATGCGTGCGACAAGCTCACATTCTTTGGCCTTATCCGCAATGCCTCCGTGCACGTGCTACAGAGGTGGGTCTCCTCGATTGATCCAGCTCTTCTCTGGAAAAGGCCATGTTACTCAAATGTTGAGAGTCCACTCAAAAGTTTTACCTCTCTCTTTATCTCATTTCCCATCCTCGCCTCCCGCCCCGTTCGCATGCCCTCGCTCTGCCCACGGCCCCACCAGCGCCATCGAGCGGCTCGTACTAGAAAGAACCCCTGTGGCATGCTCAAACGTGCACCCAACCCCCTCCTCACCTCCTAGTCACACTTCTCCCACCTCTACTCCCTTGGCTCCCGCCCTTCCCACCAGCCCCATGCACGTCCCCTCAGTGCCCTCAGAGCTGTACCGCCGCCCATCCCTGCTGGTGCTGGAATTTATTGCTTCCGTTCCTTCTTTCCCCTCGCCCATCCCTTTCTCCCAGCCCCATGCACGTGCCCTCTGTGCGCTCAGAGCTGCATCGCCGCCCATCCCTGCTGGTGCTAGAGTCGCTGCTGCATGCACTGGCACGCACCAACCTCCTCAGCTGCTGTGGGGGCATCGAAGACCACTTCTGCCGCCTGCTGCCTGGGGCAGGGAGTGGGATTGGAAAGGGGGAGGTGGCTTCTGGTGCAGGTGGTTTTGATGCAGGCATGGCTGGGGGGAGTGTGGCTGGGGATGGTGGGGGGATGGTAGAGCGAGGCTTGGGGAAGGGAGGGCAGGAGAGGCGAGGAGAAGAGGGTATGGCACAGAGGCGTGAGAATACTTGGAGTGGCGCTGGTGGTGATACTGCTGATGCGAGTGGGAATACTGGGAGCACTGATCTTGGCCAAAGATCTGTTAACGAGGAAGACTATGATGAGGATGAGGTGGACAGCAGAGGCAAGACAGGGAAGGTGGTGGGGGGACAGGGTGCAGTGGAGGGGGCTGGGTGGGGGGATGAGTATGGTGATGAGGGGGAGGAATGGGGGGAGGGAGGAGAGGGGGAGGGGGGTGGAGAAGGGGCGACAGGAGGCGAAGATGATTATGAGTATGATGATGACTACTATGGGGCACCTATTGAGGAGCTGATGAGTGACTTGGAGCATGCCAATGTGGCACATGCCCAAGAAGTGCAACAAACGGATGCGTGAATTCTTTATAGCGAATATAATTGGGGCAGTATTTTTCATAGAGATGATTTGGTTAGAACGGGAACCAATAAACCAAGGTTGGGTTTAGTTCAAATAGCAGCTCTATTATCTTAAGTGACCTACTTTTCTGGGTGTAGATCAGACTGACATTTCTCGGTGAACAACAATTTTATCCTCGTTTGTCCTCGTGAAGTCAACGAGGCTCCCATGCTGAGCTGGTGTGGATCTGCATCTTGCCACGTTAGTAAAATCTGCCAAGGGGGAAGATGGGGCGTGTCTGCAGTTTACGTCAACGTTGCCTGGGTGCTTTGACAGGGAAGACTCGGCCAGATGTCAGTCAGTACTTGACGGTAACCGTTACAAAGCCCGAATCTTGACGGGAACCGTTGCCCTATCTTGACTTCTTCCTCTCGCAGGATTTTCTGCATCCATCCTTCCACAGACCAGTTGCTCATGATCCTTCCACATTTCAGACCTTCCAAACCACATCCTTCGTGGGCTAGAGACTCCACATTCCCGAATTCAAGATTTCAAAACATTTAGTAGCTTCATCATTCGTCGTTACGCTGATTCGACATCGACACCCTTCAACGCCGGAAGTGCTATTGGAGATAGTGGTGCTTGTTCTCGCCGCGCATTCAGACTCTCATCGAGGCACTCCATAAAGCGTACACGCGGTAGCTCGTTCGACCAGCACTTTCCCGCGCGCAATCATGGCCGCACCGCGCGAGGTATTCGTTATAGGCACAATGGACACTAAAGCCGAGGAGCTCCTCTTCCTCGCGTCGCAGCTCAAACGGTCCCTTACCTCCTTAACCACGGCCGAACCGCCATTTTCCATCTCTATAATCGACGTCTCCGCGTCTCCGTCATCCGCGGCTCTCGTTACAAGCACACCATTCCCTATTATCTCCGTCACCGACGTCCTCGCGTCGAATCCAGACGCCGCCGCGAAATCCGCCGCGTCTCTCGCCGCGGATCGCGGAGAGGCGGTGCAGGCGGTGGCCGACGCTCTGAAGCGGTTCGTGCGGGGGAAGTGGGACGCGGGCGCGCTGGCGGGCGCGGCGGGGATCGGGGGGAGCGGCGGAACCGCCATCATTGCGCCCGTGCTTAGGGAACTTCCCGTTGGCGTTCCCAAGATTATTGTCTCCACCGTCGCCAGGTGCGTCGTTCTAACGAGGTGAAACTGTGGAGAAGTGAGACTGTAAGGAGTTACTGAACGAGGAAGGATGGACGCCTTCACCACGTCCCACCACGTCCCACCCCGTCCTCCCTGCGCCTCTCGTGCATCCCACACACAGAGCCATGGGCACTGCACGCAAGAACCCTCATCATTACACCTGCCCTCTGCCCTGCCGTTCCCCCTTCCCGCCCCTCCCTACGCCCTGACCCTTCCCCTTTGCTCCACTGCACCCTTCATCCCCCTTCCCCTGTACCCCACCTCTTTCCACACCCGCGCCCCCCCCCTCCCCCGTCATGCCTCGTAACGCACGCTACTACCACTCAGTGGCAACACCGCACCGTACGTGGGAACGTCGGACCTGTTGCTGCTCCCATCAGTGGCGGACGTGGCGGGGCTGAACGCCATTCTCCGCGCAGCCCTCTCCTCCGCCGCCGCTGCCCTTGCTGGCATGCTGCTCCTGCGCGCCCTGCCCGCCCAACCGCCTTCCCCTGCGGCTGGGGAGACTGCTCTGGGCGTGTGTGCGCCTGTGACGGTGGGGATCACGATGTTTGGGGTTACCACCCCGTGTGTTACGGAGGTGCAGCGCCTTCTCAGCAGCAAGGGCGGGAAGGAGGGCAAGGAGGGAGGCGCAGAGGCTGTGGAGACGGTGGTGTTCCATGCGACGGGCATGGGGGGAAGGGCCATGGAGGAGAACGTTGCGTCTGGACTCATTCAGGTGCGCTCGTTGAATGAGTCATTCAATGCGTTCACGCCCACTGCACATTCTCCCTTGCTTCAACCACTATCTCTCCCCCCCGCACATTCCGCCCTCTCTTTCCTCCTCTGCTCAATCCCCCTCCCACGCTACTCATCCCCCCCCCACCACCCGTGCTGCTATTTATGATCACGGAAAGACACTGATAGACAGCGAGAGGTCATAGTGGGCGGCACCATGGCCCGTCCACTTGGTAGCATCCTCGGGAACATCCCCGCTAGTGAGTCCATCACCATAGTAGCTCACCCCACGCATCTCTTCGCCCTCTGCCTGCGCTCCCCTCCCCCAGTCCCCAGGCAACAGAGACAGAGGAACTCATAATAGGCGACACCACACCGCACCTCACCACACCACACCTCACCACACCCTGCCTGCCCCGGACCAGATTCGTGAGAGTCACTCCCCACCCCTCACTCCCCCCTGTTTCTCCACCCCTCCCCTCCCCCCCTCTTTCTAGGCAGTGCTGGACATCACGACAACGCAAGTAGCACACTTCATAGTGGGCGGCACCATGCCGTGCCTGCCCACCAGGTTCGTGAGAGTCACTTCAACCACAACCCTCATTCCCCACTCATCCACCGTCCACTCCCCACACACCCAGGCCGTACTGGACATCACAACAACAGAGGTGGCGGATTTCATAGTGGGCGGCACCATGCCGTGTCGGCCCACCAGATTCGACGCCGCCATCCAGAGGAAGGTTCCTCTCGTGATCAGCCTGGGGGCGCTCGACATGGTCAACTTCGGAGAAGCTTCCTCCGTGCCCAAGGAGTTTGAAGGGCGCACCTTCCACGTGCACAACCCACAGGTATGCCTGTCTGATTATTTTCTGGTGCACACACTCCCAGCCAGGTACGATTGTGAGGTCATGGGCGGGCAAGGGGTAGGAGTATAGTGAGATAATGGAAGAGGAGGTTCGACGAAAGAGAGAGTTAATAAGGTGGAAAGTTCATAGAGAAAATCTCAGGGAAACGTGCAAAAACTCTCTGTTGAGGTGTATGTTTCCTTTGGCTAGTCTATCATGCAATGGGTGACCTTTGGTGTGTGTCTGTGCACTGTCTCCCTCTTCCCCCCTCAGAAATTCTTCCCCTTCTCCTGATACTCACCGCCCCCAGGTCACCCTCATGCGCACAACGGCCGACGAGAACCGTCGGATCGCGCAGTTCATCGCGGACAAGATGAACCAATCACAGGCGCCCGTGACACTACTAATACCTGAGGGGGGGCTGTCCGCTCTAGACGCCCCGGGGATGGCCTTCTGGGACCCTGCTGCCAATGCTGCCCTGTTTGAGGAGCTGGAGACACACGTGGAGCACACAGATAGCAGGAAGGTGAGTAAGAAGTGGTGATGACGGTTGAAAGAGATAGAGTGCGGTACACATGGGTGCAATGGAGTGGGTGGCCTGTCGGTCCTGAACACCGGGGGCATGGGCTTCTGGGACCCTGCTGCCGATGCTTCTCTGTTGGATGAGCTGGAGAGACAAGTGGAGCACACAGACAGCAGGAAGGTGGGTACGGTGAAGGGTGGGAGGGATAGAGTGCGGTGCGGATGTGTACAACAGAGTGGAGTGGTGTTTGTGAAGTTGTGCGGCCAATGCTGGTCTGTTTGGAGATAACAAGCGAGAGGCGTTGCTGAGGCATGGTGCTAGTTATCATCTTTGGAGGCGAATCAGAAGTCGCCGCATGGTGCTGATTATCATCTACCCAGAAGGACAGTGGGTGGTGTGCGCGGTAGAGATGGGTGGTGAGGAAGATGGGTGGTGAGGAAGATGGGTGGTGAGGAAGATGGGTGGTGAGGAAGATGGGTGGTGAGGAAGATGGGTGGTGAGGAAGATGGGTGGTGAGGGTGATGGGTGGTGAGGGAGATGGGTGGTGAGGAAGATGGGTGGTGAGGGAGATGGGTGGTGAGGAAGATGGGTGGTGAGGAAGATGGGTGGTGAGGGAGATGGTTGGTGAGGAAGATGGGTGGTGAGGAAGATGGGTGGTGAGGGAGATGGGTGGTGAGGAAGATGGGTGGTGAGGAAGATGGGTGGTGAGGGAGATGGGTGGTGAGGGAGATGGGTGGTGAGGTTAGGGACTCAACCTCTCACTCTCACTTCTAACCTTCTCTCTTCACCCATTCCCTCTTCCCCCACTCCCTCCCCTCTCTCTCTCTCCCTCGCAGATCATTCGCTCGCCCCACCACATCAACGATCCTGCCTTCGCTGCATTTTGAGGTGCCAAGCTCGATCTCTCTCACCCCCCCACTCCCACCTTATCACTCCCTCGCAGACCATTCGCCTGCCCCACCACATCAACGACCCTGCCTTTGCTGCTGCCCTCGTCAACGCTCTCCTGCCCCTCCTCCCATCCACCACTGCTCCCACCGCTGCGGCCCCGCCTGCTTCTACTGCTCCTCCCCCTCCCCAAACCTCCGAACCAGCTTCCGCCACAACCACCCCTGCCCTCTCCACCTCTCCCTCCCCTAATCCACCCCTCTCCACCACACTCAACCCACCTCCTGCCCTCGACCTCACCCCGATTCCCTGGCTGGTCGACCGTCGCACTGCCATCCTGCACTCCCTGCGGTCCCAAGTGGCAGCAGGGAGGGCGATCATAGGGGGTGGGGCAGGCACAGGCATAAGCGCCAAGTGTGAGGAGATGGGGGGAGTGGATCTCATTGTCATCTACAACTCGGGCCGGTTCCGCATGGCTGGGCGCGGGTCGCTGGCGGGGCTGCTGCCGTTTGCTGATGCCAATGCTGTGGTGGAAGACATGGCTAAGGAGGTGCTGCCGGTGAGTGTGATTGTAGGGAGAGGTGCTGCCAGTGAGTGTGATTGTAGGGAGAGGTGCTGCCAGTGAGTGTGATTGTAGGGAGAGGGGCTGCCAAATACCCCTTCCTCTTCCTGGGCCCACTTCCCACCCCCTTCCCTCCCACCTATTCTCCCCCCTTACCCCCACCCTGGCCCCCCAGGTAATCAATTCAGTACCAGTGCTAGCAGGCGTGTGTGCAACGAACCCCTTCCGCCAGGTGCCCCTCTTCCTGCGCCGCCTCGCCTCCCTCGGCTTCGCGAGTCCAAAACTTCCCCACAGTGGGCCTCTCTACGACGGCTCTTTTCGTACCAACCTCGAGAGAACTGCCCCTTCTTTCCCCCTTTCCCCTCCCCTCCCCTCTCGCCCTCCTCAAACCCCTCCTCCTTCCCCCTTTCCCCATTCCTTCCCCCCCAGGTCATCAAGTCAGTGCCAGTGCTAGCAGGCGTGTGCGCCACGGACCCCTTCCGCCAGATGCCTCTCTTCCTGCGCCGCCTCGCCGCCCTCGGCTTCGCGGGGGTCCAAAACTTCCCCACCGTCGGCCTCTACGACGGCTCTTTCCGCACCAACCTAGAGGAGACCAACATGGGGTACCCGCTCGAAGTCGCCATGATTAAAACGGCTAGTGTGCTGGGTTTCCTCACGACGCCGTATGCTTTTAACGAGGAGGAGGCGCGGAGCATGGCTGGGGCCGGGGCAGATGTGGTGGTGGCGCATATGGGGCTCACGGCAGCGGGCAGCATAGGGGCGAGAACGGTGTGCTCTCTACAGGAGGCGGTGGGGCGAGTGCAGCGCATGGCCGATGCTGCTAGAGGGGTGAACCCCAACGTTCTCGTGCTGTGCCATGGTGGTGAGTGGTGCTGTGCGGTGGGGTGACTGGGGTGGTACTGGGACGTGCACTGGGGAATGAGTAGGGCAGCATAGGGGCGAGAACGGTGTGCTCTCTACAGGAGGCGGTGGGGCGAGTGCAGTGCATGGCTGACGCTGCCAGAGGGATGAACCCCAACGTTCTCGTGCTGTGCCATGCTGGTGAGTGGTGCTGTGCGGTGGGGTGACTGGGGCGCCTCAAAGATATCCTGGTGACATTCCGTGAGCCTGGTTGGTATCCTCCCACCCACCTTGACCTCCCTCCACCTTCCTTCTCATGTTCTTGTTCATGCCAACCCGTGTGTCCGTGCTGACTCCCAGGCCCCACCAGGTCACGGTACATCCTGCAGCACAAGTGGGGGGGGGGGGGGGGTTCACGACTTCTACGGCGCGTGCAGCATGGAGGCCCGTCCACATCTCCCTCCACTGTCCTTGTCTTGTCCCTGCCAACCCTTGTATGTACCCCACCAGGTCCCATCAGCGGGCCAGAGGAGGCGTGCTACATACTGCAGAACACGCGGGGGGTGCACGGCTTCTATGGCGCCTCCAGCATGGAGCGCCTGCCCGTGGAAACTGCCATCACAGACAACCTCAAGGCCTACAAGGCCATTCGCCTGCCTGCTTGAGCAGTAAATTAAGGAGACGGTTTTGGAGATGTCTCCAATATTGGAGACTTGCATGCATAGGTAGGTAGGTCGAGTATTTGGCTACTGGTTTGGATTGGTATCAACTCAATAATGTATAGTTTGTGTGTTTACGTATTTCTGAGCCTCTAGCAGAAGAACATTGACGCTGTAGTCCAAAGTGAGTATGAGTGGTGGTTGATAAAAAGAGGGCAAGAATCTATTAGACAAAGAGACGAGCACAAAACTGGTGGTACCAAATGTATCAGTCGCGTGGGACGGTTATCCCTGGCATTTACGGTAAAGACAGGTACCGTTTTACCCCGGCTAGAAGCGCGGGTGCGCTTATAATAAAACAGTGTTTTTTAGGGGGGTGCGCTTCTAATTGAGTCATTTTTATAAGCGCATACGCCTGTAATAGGAAAAAAATAAAATCCACTTTTAAACATACCAAATTGAAGCCCGCAATAAGACGAATTCAACCGACCATGCAACACGTGGGATCGTGCATGGTTTTCAGGCAAAAACAGCAGCGGTTCGGTTTCCCACCGCACAGTTTTGTCTAGAACCATCGAACGTGACAGCAGTGACGGGGATGTTGCCGTGCGGCCCAGTCACAGCCGCATGCGCTGTGTGGCATATGCATTTCTTCCGAACCCTCTCAAAGGGTGGGGAAGATTCCATGCCAGCGCAGCGTTTATGTTGCCACGCAGGGTCCCTTACAGGGGTAGGCGGGGGTTTCCCGCCTGTCATTGACGAGGACCCCGAGGCGCCAACCCTACGGGGTCCCCTTCGTTGCCCATTTGTGCACCCTCTTTCTCATTTTTTTTCATTCACATTCCAGTCTAGGCCGCCTGGCTGGCGAAGCCATGGCGGAATTCAGCGGGACGCACTTCCTCTTCAAGAAAAAACCAGCTCGCCCGTGGCGACTTACCGACGACGGGTGGTATACCCGTGAGCCACAAGCGCCTCCAGTGCCACCTGAACCCCCTGCACCCCCTGCTCCTCCTGCTCCTCCTGCACCTCTTGCTCCTCCTGCTCCTCCCGCTCCTCCCGCTCCCCCGAATCCGCCTGATATCGGTATCGGTATCGGTGCTCACCAACGGCCAGTGCTCCAGCTGTATTTACCAGCCACTTTCGACGAGTGGCTGTCAGAAGTGGAGACACCCAAGGCCCCCGATGTGTTCATCCAGGCTCCGCCGCCTGCACCACGGTGGGGACGGCCTGAAGCCTCCACATGGGACGAGTCGGCTGTGGGCGCCGACGATGACGTGGCCGCCGATAAACAAAACAGCGGCGACGGCGTTGGTGGAGGCGACGGTGAAGTGGGCGCCGAGGAGGACGTGTTCCCAGATAATGGTGCAACTGCCGAGGACGACGACGGTGTGGAGTCTTGGTGGTGCGACGCACCATGCGAGAAGATGCCGATACCGACGTATCCGCTGATTAACAAAAAATGCCCCCACCCCTCCATCGAGAACCGAGATGCCCGCCCCCCCTCTCCCAGGCACAAGCCGTCTCAACATAAACGGCACTCCTACACCGCCCAGGAGAAACTCAGGTGGCTCGTGCGGCTGGAGCTGGCGGCATCGATAAGCGAGGTCGCGCGGGAGTCCGGCAGACACCGCAAATGCCTGATGGAGTGGAAAACCTAAGCGGAGGAGCTCAAGGTTTCACACGCCGCACGGTGTCGACTTCATGGGCACGGGAGGTCTTCTTGGTACAGACCCATGGAGTTAAAGGTGTACGCTCAACTCCTCGACTGGCGACGCCGCGGTGTTGCAGTTTCAGTCGGCCGGCTCCAAGATTGGCCACAAAGGGTGATGAAGGTGCTGTTCCCGGAAGTCAAATGGAAAGGGAGTCAGCGGTGGTCGGAGCAGTTCCGCAAGCGGTGGAACCTCAGCGTGCGCATGAAAACTAAGGTGGCGCATAACAGCAGGAGCGTAAGTGCCTCGTTTCTCGCTTACCTCGAGCGAATTCGCATGGTTTAAGAGTTGTTGCTCCCGTGTGAATATCTTTATCTTGTAGCGGTACTCATCCTTCTTCCTATCTGTCCTTCCCTTCCCGTGCGCAGACGTGGCGACGCAGTGCAAAGAGTTTTGGCAGTTCGTCCGCGATGCACGCAACGAGTACGCGATCGACAATCGATACATAATCAATGCCGACCAGACGCCTCTTTGGTTGGAGATGCCGGCCACTACCACCGTGGAGCAGACGGGTATGAAGTCGGTGCCCATCCGCAATGGTGGTTACCAGAACGAAAGAGTCACCGTCATGCTGGCGTGCATGGCGACGGGCGAGAAGTTGAAGCCGTGGGTGTTTTTCAAGCGCAAGACACTACCAAAGGGTGACTTCCCGAACGGTAAGCACATGTTATTGTGCGTGCTTTGGACGTTCAAAACAAAAAAGGGATTAACCACCGCTTGCTTGTGTGCAGATGTCGTGGTCGGCTGCCAAGCGAACGGGTGGATGGAGGCCACGAGCGTCATCCAGTGGCTCGATGAGGGCGTGGTGCCGTTCCTGAAACCGAAATTCGGCGTGCAGAGTCGGAGCGCCATGCTAGTACTCGACTCCTACCGTGGTCACCTTACCAAGGAAGTCAAGGCGAGATTCGCGGCGCTCAACATCGTGCCGGCGGTAATCCCGGCGGGATGCACGGCAGACGTGCAGCCGCTCGATGTGTCGGTGAACAAGAGCTTCAAAGCGAGTGTTCGCCAGCAGTACCAGCCCTGGTTTGAGGCGGACGGCATGAACATTCTGACACTTGCAGGTGAGCGACGACATGTCCTCCCGTCTCCCCTTCGTGTGCTTGTCTGCGTGCTTGTGGACTAATGTGTTCCCCACTCCCTTTCATGTGGTGCAAGGAACATCAAGAAACCACCCCCGGCGGTGGTGCTCAAGTGGATTTCACGGGCGTGGAAGGCCGTGCCCGCCGACCTGATTAAGAAAGTCTTCCTCACGTGCGGCATCAGCAATGCCCTTGACGGGAGCGAAGACCATCTGGTGATGGCGCACCGGAGAAGCCAGCTGAGCCACGAGGTAGAGGTAGACGACGACATCCAAGCAGACGGGTTCTGAGGCAACAACGTCACGGAGCCTGAATCGGACGTGGAGGAAGAGGAGGCCTAAGGCTAGACTAGGCAAGATGATGGTGTTTAGGCTAGGACAATAGTCACCCTATTGTACGTGAAACTTTTAGCTAGTGCAAAATTACAACTAATGAAAGCTAGCCTCACTTTAGCTCTAACAATAATGACAAATATTCAACAAGTAAATTTTTATTATTTTTTTACTGCAAGGGTGCGCATATAATAAGTAACGATTTTATAAGGGGTGCGCTTTTAATTGAGGATCGGCCATAGCGCATTGCTCCATATATAAGCGCATGCGCTTTTATTAGGCATGCGGTTATATCAGGGGCGATACGGTACCGTACAACCGATCAGCAATGCAAACACCGTACTAGGGGAGTGATATGGTACCTCTATGATATGGGATCTCAATTGTGTCCATGCATGTCAATGCCAACTTATTACTTTATTTCCCTGCACCCATTTGGCATGCAACTTTACTCAATACATATACACTTGTGTACTACAACAGAAAACGGATCCATCCACCATATCACAACACAACAGCAACCTGCAGAAGAGCCGCAGCCTGCCTCCTCATCTTCCTCTGCCTCTCTGCCTGTGCCTTCGTAGTCCCTACCCCATCGCCTCCACTGCCATGCCATGTACCCACTAGGAGCAACAAGCAGCGCCACAACATTCCGACAACCACCTCCTTACCCTGCTCCACCGCACCAACCCCCTCAACACCCCACCGCACACCTCACTTCTCCCCTCGTCTCCGTCGCTTCTTCTCCACCTTCTTCAACCGCTTGCTCACGGCCTCAACAGCCGCCGTGAACCCCACCGGCGCCAGTGGCGGCGCCACAGCCGCCTTGGCAGCCTCCTCGTCCTGCTTCAACTGCACTATCTCCTGCACAATCTGCTGATCCGGGGGTGCTATACGCGACTCTACCCCGCGGAACACGAAATACGGCAGCACCGCCATCACTGGTAGCAGCAGCAGGCCGGTGAGCCAGTAGAGCGCGCTCGGGGCGAGCACCTCAGAGAAAATGTAGTAATAATCCGTGGACCAATCCGGGCCGAAATACGAGTACACCCCGAGAAAGAAGTACCAAACAGCGATGCTACCCCAGATGAAGAGGTGCGTAATCCAGGTCCAGTGCTCTGTAATAAGCGCGATCTGGAAATTCACTGCCACGACCACGCCCGTCATGAGTGTCGCGCTGAGCCCGTTCATCTCGAAGAGCTTGCCGGAGGATAGAGACGCCTGGGGCAGCACGGCTGCGAGGCAGGTCCAGAAGAGCAGCACGGATTGGAAGACCCCGTAGCCGATCCACATGGCGATGGTGGTCCAGTGGAAAAACACATTCTTTGGACCCTGCTGGTACAGTGCTGGGAACTGGCGGGGGGAAGGGGGACACGCAGGAGGAAGTGGAGGGAAATGCAGGGCGTGAGTGTGACAGGCAGCATGGAGGCGATGAGAGAGTGACTGTGAGGTGACTCACACCTCACCACGAGCACCTGCTCGCCCCCACACGGTCCCACACAGCCCCACACGGCCCCACACAGCCCCACACAGCAGCCCCACACGGCCCGCACTCAGCATGAGCAGCTGTTTGTCTGACAAGTCCTGTTCCAGCACGCCATAGCCAATAACTGCATGACTTTTGAGTCAATTCACAACTCACCCTGCGCACACACCTGCTCGCCCCACACGGCCCGCACTCACCATGAGCAGCTGTTTGTCGGAGAGGTCTTGCTCCAGCACACCGTAGCCGATGACGGGCAGCGAGGTGAAAAAGACGTTGTAGAGCGTGCAGGCCCAGCTGTTGTACACTATGCTCCAGCGCACCACACACCCCCACACAGCCCCACATGCCCCCGCACTCACCATGAGCAGCTGTTTGTCGGAGAGGTCCTGCTCCAGCACACCGTAGCCGATGACGGGCAGCGAGGTGAAGAAGACATTGTAGAGCGAGCAGGCCCAGCTGTTGTACACTATCTGCCCGGAGAACACCGCATACGCGTTGTAGTAGAAGATGGTGAGCCCGAACGCCACGTTCTTGTAGAAGAAATAGGTCACCTGTGGGGTGGTGTGGGGGGTGCAGGGCAGCATGGATTGCATGGGGTGCACAGGGGGAGATGGGGGAGATGGGGGAGATGGGGGAGATGGAGGCGGAGGTTCACTGAGCTGCATACGCGTTGTAGTCAAAGATGGTGAGGCCAAACGCCATGTTCTTGTAAAAAAAGTATGTGACCTGCAGGGGGGTGAGGATGGGGTGAGGATGGGGAGATGATGGGGAGATGATGGGGAGATGATGGGGAGATGATGGGGAGATGATGGGGAGATGATGGGGAGATGATGGGGAGATGATGGGGAGATGATGGGGAGATGATGGGGAGATGATGGGGAGATGATGGGGAGATGATGGGGAGATGATGGGGAGATGATGGGGAGATGATGGGGAGATGGGAGGAGAGGTGGGCTAAGTGAGGGCACTACTTGGGAGCAGGGAGTGCGAAAGCAGGTCTCATTGTAGTAAAAAATGGTCAGGCCGAAGGCCGAAGGTGACCTGCAGTGTGGTGTGCGGGGATGGGGGAAATGGGGATGAGGAAAATGGGGAGATGGGGGTGATGTAACGAGAGCTGCACTAGTTGAGTGCACTATGAGAGTAGGGAGCGCAAAACAAGCTTGCGATTTTGAGCTTATTGAAATTCTGAAATGGTTATATAAAGGACAGAAAAGCAGATTCACCCATAAACGATGAAGAAGAATGCGGAAGGGCGGTGGATAGCAAGGGACACGGCAAGAATGGTAGGGGGCGCTGAGAAGGATGGTGGAGGAGGAGGAGCAACGGATTCAAAAAGTGAGAAAAGAGGGTTGAGGGTATGAGGGGGAGCGGGGAAGGGCAGGGCGGCAAGGCAGGGCACTGACAGCGTTGGCGATGCGCTTGTAGCTCCAGTGGCCGTGCACGAGCAGCAGTCGCTCCAGGTACTTGAACTGTGCTATGGCAAAGTCACTCGCCATCACCGCCTGCCATGGGGGGGAGGGAGAGGGGAGGGTGGCGGGGGGGTGTGAGGGGGGCAGGAGAACGGGGAGAGGGTAGGGAGGAAGGGCAAGTACGAGCAGCAGTCGCTCCAGGTACTTGAACTGTGCTATTGCAAAGTCACTCGCCATCACCGCCTGCCAGAGGGAGAGATGAGCGGGAGTAGGTGGGTTGAAGAGGGGAGGGTGGTTGAGTGATTGGGGAGGAGGAGCAGAGGCACGGTTGCAGATGTGGGGTGGGGGAATGGGCTATGGTGGTAGAGCGGTGCGGAACTATGGATGCTCGCCCTCTCTCTCACCTGCTTGCTTTCTCTCACACCCTCAAGTCACCTGCTGCCCCTCTCTCACCTGCTGCCCCTCCCTCTCACCTGCTGCCCCTCCCTCTCACCTGCTGCCCCTCCCTCTCACCTGCTGCCCCTCTCTCACCTGCTGCCCCTCTCTCACCTGCTGCCCTTCTCACTTGCTGCCCCTCTCTCACCTGCTGCCCCTCCCTCTCACCTGCTGCCCCTCTCTCACCTGCTGCCCCTCCCTCTCACCTGCTGCCCCTCTCTCACCTGCTGCCCCTCCCTCTCACCTGCTGCCCCTCTCTCACCTGCTGCCCCTCCCTCTCACCTGCTGCCCCTCCCTCTCACCTGCTGCCCCTCTCTCACCTGCTGCCCCTCCCTCTCACCTGCTGCCCCTCCCTCTCACCTGCTGCCCCTCCACGCCACTGATGCCAACACCAATGTCCGCCTCATGGATCATGCCCACATCGTTCATCTCTCCCACCTCTCACCTGCTGCCTCTCTCCCCTGCTCGCTTTCCTGCTCGCACCCTCTCTCTCACCTGCTGCCCCTCCACGCCACTGATCCCAACGCCAATGTCTGCCTCATGAATCATGCCCACATCGTTCGCCCCGTCCCCAATGCCCAGTGTCGTGCGCCCCGTGCCGTCCTTCACCAGCCGTGTCACCTGCACGCCATGGCATGAGTTAGCGCCACATGGAGTGCCATTGCAGGAACGGGGCGTGAGGGAGTGGTTAGTTGCAAGAAGGACGCTGGAGGCAGGAAATTGGCATCAGCTTCAGCGATGCTGCTTCTCATCCCCAATGCTCAGTGTCTGCGCCCTGTGGCGTCCTTCACCAGCCACATCACCTGCAGGAAGGAGTACCACAGGTCACCACATGGCACCACATGGCACCACATGGCACCACATGGCTCCACATGGCACCACATGGCACCACATGGCATGGTGGCATGGCGCGAGCAGGGCATGAGGGAGTGAGTGGTTAGGTGCATGGGGGACGACCCTGGCATGAAAAACGGCACCAGCTTTGCTTCCTGCAGCCCTCTGCCTTCTCCCATTCCCTCAATCCTCCACTCCCCATTCCCCCCCTTTGTGCTTACCAGCGCCTTCTGTTTGGGAGACATGCAGCAGCACATCACAGAGGCGCACTGCATGGCCAGCGCCAGCATCTTCCCCATCCCCCAACCCTCCTCCCCCGTTCTCCCCCCTTTTTCCCCACCTCCCCTTTTTTTCCTTACCAGCGCCTTTTGCTTGGGCGACACGCGGCAGCACACCACAGAGGCACACTGCATGGCCAGCGCCAGCAGCGCCGCCCTCAGCTCCGGCTCCAATGCAAACGCCAGCGACTTGCCATCAATCACCAGCGCAAACACCCTCGCTGACCCATCCCCGTCCCCGTTCCCTTCCTCGTCCACCTCCCCGTCCCCTTCTCCCCCGTCGCCGTTGCCATTGGCAGCCGCGTCCCCACCGTTAGCATGCTCCCCTGCAGCAGGAGCGCCCCCCTCTCGAGCACGGTCGATGAGAGCAGCGCCGTCGAGCAGCAGCCGTTTCACCCTGTCCCTGCACACCTGGGGAAGGGGGGGGGGCGAGGGGGGAGTGTCATTGTGGACGGGAGAGGGAGGGGAAAAGGGGAGGGGGGAGGTGAAGGGGTGTGGCAAAAGGTAGGGTGTACGCGCGGGGAGCCGTCGAGCAGCAGGCGCTCCACCCTGTCCCTCCACACCTGTGCGGGGAGAGGAATGCGGAAGGGCGAGGGTGGGTGGGAGAGGGGGGGAATGGCAAGGGCGGAAAAGGAGGTGAGGCATAGCAAGCGGTGGGGTGTGTGAAGAATTGAAAAAGAATAACTGATTGGATTAGAGAGGAAACAAGCATACATAGGTTGGATGAGAAGGTTGGAGAAGAAGGGTTGGGTTGACCACACTTTGTGGAAAGTGGGGCAACCTCAAGCCCACTTGGGTTGGGTTGGCCTCACTTTTGGGAAGTGAGGCAACCTCAAGCCCACTTGGGTTGGGTTGGCCTCACTTTTGGGAAGTGAGGCAACCTCAAGCCCACTTGGGTTGGGTTGGCCTCACTTTTGGGAAGTGAGGCAACCTCAAGCCCACTTGGGTTGGGTTGGCCTCACTTTTGGGAAGTGAGGCAACCTCAAGCCCACTTGGGTTGGGTTGGCCTCACTTTTGGGAAGTGAGGCAACCTCAAGCCCACTTGGGTTGGGTTGGCCTCACTTTTGGGAAGTGAGGCAACCTCAAGCCCACTTGGGTTGGGTTGGCCTTACTTTTGGGAAGTGAGGCAACCTCAAGCCCACTTGGGTTGGGTTGGCCTCACTTTTGGGAAGTGAGGCAACCTCAAGCCCACTTGGGTTGGGTTGGCCTCACTTTTGGGAAGTGATGCAACCTCAAGCCCACTTGGGTTGGGTTGGCCTCACTTTTGGGAAGTGAGGCAACCTCAAGCCCACTTGGGTTGGGTTGGCCTCACTTTTGGGAAGTGAGGCAACCTCAAGCCCACTTGGGTTGGGTTGGCCTCACTTTTGGGAAGTGAGGCAACCTCAAGCCCACTTGGGTTGGGTTGGCCTCACTTTTGGGAAGTGAGGCAACCTCAAGCCCACTTGGGTTGGGTTGGCCTCACTTTTGGGAAGTGATGCAACCTCAAGCCCACTTGGGTTGGGTTGGCCTCACTTTTGGGAAGTGAGGCAACCTCAAGCCCACTTGGGTTGGGTTGGCCTCACTTTTGGGAAGTGAGGCAACCTCAAGCCCACTTGGGTTGGGTTGGCCTCACTTTTGGGAAGTGATGCAACCTCAAGCCCACTTGGGTTGGGTTGGCCTCACTTTTGGGAAGTGAGGCAACCTCAAGCCCACTTGGGTTGGGTTGGCCTCACTTTTGGGAAGTGAGGCAACCTCAAGCCCACTTGGGTTGGGTTGGCCTCACTTTTGGGAAGTGATGCAACCTCAAGCCCACTTGGGTTGGGTTGGCCTCACTTTTGGGAAGTGAGGCAACCTCAAGCCCACTTGGGTTGGGTTGGCCTCACTTTTGGGAAGTGATGCAACCTCAAGCCCACTTGGGTTGGGTTGGCCTCACTTTTGGTAAGTGATGCATCCTGAGGCCAAGTGGGTTGCATTTGGGGGCTCCACCACAATTGGGTTGGATTGGCACCCCAAAATGCAAGACTACACCCAAAGTTGGGTGTAATCCCAACCCAACTGTACACCACAATTGGTGTACAGTCACAAGTGTTAGCATGCTATAACATAGGATTCCAACAGGGTGTACTAGCAAATCACTCCTCTTGCATGACAGCTGTTTCCAGTGTTGTACACATGAGTGAAGTGAAGCGACTTTTGAGTCGACACAGAAGTCGCCTTATTAGCAAGGCACCCCTCTTGCAGCACCGCTGCTTCCAGTGCGGCAGCCATGAGTGAAGTGAAGCGACTTTTGAGTCGACACAGAAGTCGCCTTATTAGCAACGCACCCCTCTTGCAGCACCGCTGCTTCCAGTGCGGCAGCCATGAGTGAAGTGAAGCATGGACGGTAGGGAACAGCGTGAGAACGAAAAAGACAATGCATTTTCATCATACCGGACGGAACCGCACTGCACCACAACGCTGGCAGGCACTGGCAGGCACTGGCAGGCACTTCCATTCCGCCCAACAAGTACCCCCGCTTCTTGCATGCGCTGCAGCACGCTTCTTCTCCTTATCCCCGGTGTCCTCCAGCGTAATGTGATCACTACGACACACCCTCGCCATGCAGCACCACACCACACCACACCGCACAGCACCCAGTGCTACTATACTCACAGCGGCGGGCTTCTCCTTGCCCCCGGTGTCCTCCAGTGCAATGTGTGACCATTGCAGCACAGCACTGTGAACCACACTACAGCACTGTGAACCACACTACAGCACTGTGAACCACACTACAGCACTGTGAACCACACTACAGCACTGTGAACCACACTACAGCACTGTGAACCACATTACAGCACCACACTACAGCACCACACTACAGCACCACACTACACCCCTTGCTACAATACTCACACCAGCGAGCTTCTCCTTGTCCCCAGTGTCCTTGAGCTTACTGTGTGATCAGCACGACACAGCACCACACAGCACCACACAGCACCACACAGCACCGCACAGCACCCAGTGCTACTATCAATACTCACAGCAGCAAGCTTCTCCTTGTCCCCGGTGTCCTCGAGCTTGCGAATGTCTGGTGAGTCAAGGGACACAACAATCTGCTTCATGTCGTCCCGCAGCAACGAGCATGCGAAGCTGGTGAAAAGGGGGACAGCGGAGGGGCGAGGTGGGAAGGGGGAAAGGGGCGGGGCGGGAGAGAGGGGCTGGTTAAAGCAGGGTGCCAGGACGGTGTAAGAGTGAGGGCTGAGAGGAGAGCGACAAACAGGCCAGTGACAACTGGAGCCACAGTTTTGGATACTACCCTTTGGTTCCGCTGCAGTTGCAGCAGAGAAACAGTGCAAGTGTTTCTCCGCTGTCCAGCCCCACACAAGCAGCAACCACACAAGCAGCAACCACACAAGCAGCAACCACACAAGCAGCAACCACACAAGCAGCAACCACACTTGCAGGCCACAACGACACACCTGCAAGCACGGCTAGAGACTTGTTGTCGAAGTGCCTTGCTGCAAGCCTGCCTCCCAACTCCCTGGCCACAACCCAAGCCACTCTCACCACTACGCAGCCCCACCAAAAGTGCTCATGGCCCCATCTACCCCTTGGCATAACTTCATCAACAGTTGGTTTCAGCCTCAGGTCCTATTAAACGCCACTTTTCATCTCCCCGCCATGCGTGTCATCTCACCCGATGTTGATAGTCGTCTCGAGCTTGTCCCCTGTGAGCACCCACATCTTGATGGCTGCCTGCGCCAGCCGGCTTATCTCCCTGCCACCCATGTGTGCGATCTCCCCGCCACCCATGCTATCTCACCCGATGTTGATGGCCGTTTCCAGCTTGTCCCCTGTCAGCACCCAGATCTTGATGCCCGTCTGTGCCAGCCGGTCTATGGCCTCCGGTACCTGAAGGGTCAGGAAGAGGGGCGAAAGGGAAGGGGCGAAGAGGGAGGGTGGGGAGCATGGGGGGAGCCAGAAGTGAGCAACCATATCTTGACGCCCAACTGCAACAGCATGGCTTCTAATATCTGAGAAAAGGGAAACAGAGAAGGAGATTTTGGGGGAAGGAATGGGGTAGGTGGGGAGAACAGGGGTGAAGCAGGAGGGGGGCAAAAAGTGAGCACCCAGATCTCAAGGGTCAGGGTGGGGGGTGAGTAAGATGGGGGGTGAGTAAGATGGGGGTTGAGTATGGTAAGGGGTGAGTAAGATGGGGGTTAAGGTAAGGGGTGAGTAAGATGGGGGTTGAGTAAGATGGGGGTGAGAAAGATGGCGGTTGAGTAAGATGGCGGTTGAGTAAGATGGGGGGTGAGTAAGATGGCGGTTGAGTAAGATGGGGGGTGAGTAAGGGGGGGGGGATGAACAGAACAGAGGGGGGGATTGAAAAGAGTGGTGGGGAAGCAGGCCGAGGAGGGGGGACAAGGGGGGAAGGGACGAGCAAAGGGGGACGAACAGGGTGTGGGGGGAAGGGATGAGGGGCACAAGGTGGCTTGAGGGGAGCGATGCTCCTGTGAGAAGTACCTCTGCTGAAGTTGGGAGGGTGGAAGCAGATTCTGTGATATGTGCATCCATGTGTCCAAGTTTTGAGGCGCCTCAAAAGTTGATATGTGCATCCATGTGTCCAAGTTCATGTGTTGGTCACCCGGAGGGTGATGATGATACTGGTGGGGTCGGCGAGTGAGAAGAGCCATGTGCCATATCGTGACTCAAAGCTCACCCACCCTCCTCCAGGTGAGCGCTCTTGCTCTGTCAGGTGATCTCCTCCGCAGCAGCATCCACCAGCAGCTCCCTCTCCGCACTCAAACCCCCTCTAATAACCCACTTCTCTGTCAAATTTCCTTCTCCCTTCCCACCCCTTGAAACACCCTTCCCACCAAACTCCTTTCCCCCCATTCCCCATTCTACCACCCCTCCCCACCCCTTAAGACTCACCCCTTGCTGAAGTTTATCCTCCACAGCAGTGGCCCCCAGCAGTGTCAGCCCCTGCTCAATCTCCTCCGCAGCAGCATCCACCAGCGCCTCCCTCTCCGCACTCAGACTCCTCCTCGCCCCTTCATACCGCTCCAGCCACTCCCCGCACTCCTCCTCACTCAACTCCCTGTACGCCAGCGCCAGCGTCCGCAGCCCTGCCTCGCCGTACCGGTGCAGCGTGGCCCGGGTAGCTTCCAAATGCTGCCGCCCGGTGGGCGCTAGGCGCTCGTATATGACAGAGTCGGCGCCCTTGGTCATGAGGAGGATGCGGTTGGAGGGGTCTCGGACAATGACTGACATGCGCTTGCGCGTCGAGTTGAACTCTATTAGTGCTAGAATCGTGTACTCCCTGTTGGATGGTGGGGAGGGACGGCGAGGGGTGACAAGGGGTGACGAGGGGTGACGCTGAGTGATGAGGGGGGGAGGGGTACGATTTCCTGGTTTATATTAGAACCATGAGAGGAGGGACGATGAGAGGAGGGATGAGGTGGATGACTTAGGGAGGGTGGGTAGAGTTACTATTGGGGTTGAGTGGGGTTACTATGGCGTGAGGGTGGAGTTACAATTAGTAGGTGGGGATATGACTGGGGATGGGGAACAATATGATTGAGCTCGATTATCGCTAGAGCGGTGCACCCTGTGGAAGTGGGGTTGGGGATTTGAGTGGGAGCTGAGTTATCCAGAGGAATGGAGTTGTGAGGGAAGGTGAATTTCGACTATATGCAGGCTCGATTGCAAGCAATACCCCTCTGTTGGGGAGGGGTTGGAGGGTGGGCAGAGCAACCCCCGGTCAGGGGAGTGAGGGGCAAGGAGGGAACACGAGAGCCCAATGAGTGCCTGGGTGGTGTTTTGCCTAGTGTGGGGGCGGCAGTGAGGACATGCGAGGGGTACAATGCGGGGTTGCAGGGCCAGCAGCTTCGCCACATCACTGCCCTCCCTGCTGCTCACACACTCGCCTCTCCCCTGCCCTCCCAGTCCCCCTCACATCTCTCTCCACTGTCCTTTTCCGCCTCGCTCACTCCTCCACTGCCCACTGCCCCCACAGTTCCCCTCACCTCTCCACGCTGCCCCACATCCTCTCTTTCCCCCCCCCCCCCCTCGCCCTCAACGCTGCTCCCCATCACCCCTCACCTGTCAACGGTTGACTGCCCCGTCTCGTCGGGCTCGCGCACCCAAACGGTCGTCTGCGTGCGCTTGAAGAACGCGACGCCCATCTGCCGCGCCGCCTCCACGAACGCCGCCTCGTCCGGCGACTCCGCCTCGTACTCCACCTGCCCGGAAGCTTCGTCCACCTCGGGAATGACGGTGTGGCACACGGCCAGCACGCGCAGGAACGCGCGGATCTCCTCGCGGTGCGGCTCGCGCAGCCACGCGCCGTCCAGGAGTCTATTATCCCGCAGCGCGAACCCCTTAACCCCCGGCTTCGCCGTCCCGCTCGCCGCCGCCTCCGCCGCGGCGCGCTCCTCCTCCTCGTCGTAATCCTCCAGCTCGCTCAGATAGCGCCCGAGCCGCCGCGCCGTGGCGCGCTCGACCTCGGTAATCCCGCGGCCGTACGCGACGCCGGCAATAGAACACTTGAGGAAATCCATCTGGTTACACGTCAGCGTGCCGGTTTTATCGCTTAGCACCGTATCTACCTGCCCTAGCTCCTCATTCAAATTGCTCGTGCGCGCGCGCGCCGGCATGTCCGTCTCCGCGAAGTACATTCCGCGATCGGCGCTAATGAACCACGCCTGGAAGATCTTCACGATCTCGATCGACACGTATAGCGAAATGGGGATGAGGTAACCATATAGAATGATCGCCGTCAGGCACTGCAGCACGGACGATGCGGCGGGTTTCGCGGGGTCGTAGTACGCGTTAGTGTCGGTCGGCGCGAGGTACCACCAGGACGGCATCTGATTCTTGGTGCGCACGCCGAAAATGATACTCCCCACGATCGCCATCAGCAGCAGGCACGCGAAGAGGAAGTAGATGATCTTATCCATGCGCCGTTCAATCGAGCTGCGCTTCGACGGCGCGGCCGTCGAGTTCATCATGACCTTGCTGTCGTGGCCGGTAAAGATAACCACCCCCACCACCCACGCCGTGTTGCGCAGCTTCGAGTCGCGCAGCAGCACCTGCGCCGCGGTCAGCGACGTCGCCTCGCCGTCCCACTCTAGATTCCCTACAAACGTGTACAAACTCGGGTTCGGGTCCTCGCACTTAATCTCCGCCGTGAATTTCGCCAGCGCCTCGGGGTCCTCGAGCGGCAGCGTGCGCTCGAGCGCCTTGCGCAGTTTAAGATTCGTCTCGCCGTCCAGGTTCATTGTTTCGACGTAGCAGACGCCGTCCGGGTAGCTGGAGGCGAGCATTAGGAGGTCTGCGGGGAAGAACTCGTCCTTGAGCACTTTAACTACGTCGCCCACGCGCACCGCCTTCCACTCGCACGGCTCGAACCGCCCCTCGCCCACGTGGCGGAGCACCTTGCGCTTGTTCACCTCGTCGTCCTGGCGGACGGGGAAGGGGAAGGGGACGGGGGAAAGAGAGGGGTGAGGAGGGAGGCAGGGGGGAGGGGAAGGGGGAAAGGAGGGATGGGTGGGGGATAGGATGGGGGGGGAGGGGGGAGAAGAAAGGAGGGGAGGGGAAGGGTGGGGAGGATTGACGAGGAGGGTTGAAGGGGAGGAGGAACAGCGGGGAAGCTTGTGGGAAGGGCGAGAGTGGGGAAAGGGGGAAAGGGGGGAAGGGGGGGAAGGGGAGGTTCCAAGTGGGGAAAGCGGGAGCTTGATTGCGTTGCGCCGGAAAGACCGTTAGGAGCTCAACAGCCATTACACCCTCCAATCTGGTTCCAACCGCTCCTCGAACCGCCCTCTCTTACTAGCTCATTGCGGTTCTTAACTACCAGCGATGTTCCTGAAAGACATCTGTTACAATCACATCCTTGACTGCGACAAGAACCGCGGGCGAAGAAGTTTCTTACAGCAAGATATCGGCGCCAGTCTTCGATCGCCTCTTTGATCATACTCACGCCCACCACCAGCACGAGCGGCGCGATCAGACTGTACGGCGCGTACGGCGTGAGCGGCGTGAGCGCGAGGATGGCGCAGAGCAGGAAGTAGAGATTGGCGACGCGGCGGAACTGCTCAAAATAGCGCCTTGGGGAGGAAGGACAGTATCGAGTATTTAGTGGTGGAAATTGAGTTGTTACAATAACGAAGCGGACTGCCTTTCTCCACGTGGTGATGTGGCTCGTTGCAGTACACGTGGCGCTGAAAGCCCTTCTCTCCGACCAGCTCGCTCTCGTCTGCACGTGGCCGGATGCACCCCGCGTATGAGAGGAGCCGCGAGAGGCGCACGAGCGACTTGGATTTAGACGTCGACGACATGATGACTAATCGTTACTATCGTTTAAGAATATTCAGGCAGAATAATAAACAATCAAGGTATTCGTGCTAGCAACGGACGCGGTGCGACTTAATTCCTATGCGGGCTCGTCCGTTCGCTCCTGACCTAACCCAAGCAGCCGCCGTTGGCTACTGTACCACTCTAAATGCATTTCCTTGCGCTCATTGCACTGCAGGCTGCGTGATAATCAACATCAAGCTACCAGAGCCTTACACGGACTCGCGTGACAGCCACATCCATTGACTCTCATTCCTATTATTCCAGGACTGATTGCGGCTACATTGGGCTCTCGAACAACTGGTTTGACGGCAGCACAGTGTGGCGGGTTGGGCAGCGCATTATCTATGCATGCCCTACCCGACACGTTCCCCGACGCACTTGCATTGCATGGCGCTCTGGTTGCACTACGTGGGGAAGGGGGGAGAGAGCTGGTAGGGAGGGGGGGTGGGGTACGGTGAGTGCTGTGCAGGGAGATGGCGCCTGAGAGGGGCAACCCTCTTTAGGGCGTGTGTCTTTCAGCACAGATTGTGAAGTTCATGCTTTTCTTCGATTTTTAGAAAATGAACATTGGTCGACCTGGTTTCGTCGAATCGCGTGTTCAATTTTCACGTCAATCCTTAGTCACAAAAATGCTCGACTATCGATGTTCGAGCCTATAGGTCAGGGCCCGAGTCGCACGAAACTTGCGAAGATTACCCGGTTTTGTCACGATGGTTTAGTGGTGCGTGCGATTTGCAAACGAAGCGTGTGCAGAAGAACACACGTTTGGATAAATCAGTACGTGAAAACTCAATTGTGAGTTCGACCTGAGTTCAGTGTCCTCGTAAATTTACCGGAAACAGAGCTTTACTTCAGAAATTTCGCGAATCATCCTCACGACATTAACGAAGCTGGTTACCAAAATAAGTTGAACCCTGATCCGAACATCAACACTAAAACAACACGCCCTTACTTAAGACTTGCGGTGGGGGGCGGAGAAAATGCTCACGGGTGTGGGGAGGGGAGGGAGGGTGGGAGAGGCGAGGGGAGAGGACTGGGGGGAGATGGGGAAGGGGAAAGTGGCTGAGGGCGAATCGGGCATTCCATGGTGACCATGATGAACCTGGATTTTGAACCAGAAACGCGGTGCTCAATGGTTTTTGTTATTTCCAGAACGATGCTACGAGAACAAGACAATAGGTGTCACCACTCTGTAACGTTCTGAACCATATAAAAGGTAGTCAGAACCACGTCTGTAGCGTAGACCTTGGCGGATGGCGCACACATGAGCGGACGATTTGACTGAAAGCGGAGCGCCCTAGAAAATGCAGGGGGCGCCTTGGTAGTGTCGGGCGCAGATTCTTCCCGCCGAAAAACAGTGCCCCGCACACGTCGCCCTCGCTCTGGCGATGCGCTGCCGCACGACTGTACAGTACCGTTCTGTGGTGTTGACAAGCCGGCTTGCAGCGGGGATGAGCTCGAGGGTGTGACGGGGGTGACCAACTTACCTTCCCCCCAATCCCAAGGAGCCCTCCCTCCCCTGGGAAATGGCGTCGTGCAGAGCACGTGGGGGCCACTGAGTGGCTGCGAAATTCTGCACCGCACAGATTTGTGGCCTTACAAAGCTGCGAGATCCTTCACGAAGCAAAACCTGTAACTTGTGAAATTGTTTTTTGAGTGGCAGCCTCATACAATTGGTTCACATTTTATTGGGTTGCGTAGCAACCTTATACAAGTATAGATCCGGACAACAACTATAGATCCGGACTCCTCGTTACAAGGCGCATCAATCGATATTATTTTTGTGTCTACAAGTCAGACATTGTATCCTTCGTTATCCGGGATCCGGTTTCTTGTCAGGCATCTATCTTCTGTTGGGCTGAGAAAAGCCCTTAGGATCTTTCAGGACTAAGATCAGGTGTTGACGTAGAGATGTTGTAATTGCGGAATCGTTTAATAAATGTTGTTTGAACCACCTTGTACTGGTGTGTGAGAACAAGATAAGTTAAATAATAGCAAAGAGATACAAGCTTTTTATATGATTACTAAGGAATATAAAATGTTCTATTTTAACTGTTTTTTCTGTTGCGGTTCCATACAGTGCCGACTCGGGTAACTGCTCAGTAACGAGTCAGTTATGTGTCCTTGCTGTCACACTGTACGTTTCTTCAAGTCAAAGGTCGGAGACCTTTAACCTTCGCGTAACCTCCGACGGTTGCTTTGGTTGACTCGAGTGTTTCTTCGCTGTAGTCAGCTCCGTTTCGTGTCGACGCTTCGATACGACAGAAGCGTTTAAATCACTTGTTTCCAACACTCCCCTTCGCTTCTGGAGTATCGCTGCTGATGACGTGTCCTCGTCCAGTCAACAGCATGCAGTAATCGAACTTCTGTTTTCCGAATTTCTTTGTCAAGTAATCAGCTGCCATCTCGGATGTGGGACAGTAGGATAGCTCGAGTCTTCCCTTTTCGATTTCGTCTTTTACGAAGAAGTACCGAAGGGCGATGTGCTTCGTTCGATTTGCGAACCCGTTTTTGTTCGCTATGCGAATGGCCGATTGGTTGTCGCAGAAGAGAGAGAAGTTGGGTAACTGGGCCAATTTTGCTTCCTCCAGTAGTTCGCGAAGATATAGCTCTTCTTTGGTGGCTGAGCAGAGTGCGATATATTCTGCTTCTGCTGAGGAGAGAGCGATTAGCTCTTGCTTGTTCGACTGCCATGAAATAGGCCCGATAGGTTCGAGTTTGTAGACGTAGCCGGTTCGAGATCGTCTGTTATCAGAATCTCCAGCGTGATCTGCGTCGACGTAACCGATTAACTTAGGTGTCGAAGTTTCGGTCTTGTGGTAAGTTAGTCCGATCGTCGGAGTGCTGACGAGGTAGTGAAGTGCTCGGTCGAGTTCGAGCATGTGCTCTGCTTCAGGCCTTTTGAGGTAGGTGGCGAGTTGGCTGGCTGAGTATGATAGATCCGGTCGGCAGGTGACGGCTGCGAAGAGTAGGCAGCCTAACTTTCGTTGGTAGTCGCAGATGCCAGCAGGTTTGAGTAGGGCGGAGGCTTTTCGATTTCCGTCGGTGCAGCGGTATGACGTGGAGATAGCGGTTGGAGTGAGTCCGAAGCGTTTAGCGATAGTGTCCGTGTACTTTGCAGCGCTGAGGTAGATTCCATTGTCGTCGTCTTTGATGTTCAGTCCTAGGTACTGTGTCACGGTAGTTGCGACGGTGAGAGTGAGATCTCCCTGCAGCTCCCCTTCAAACCATGTCGTTATGGCGTCGGTGGAGCCTATGTAGAGAAGGTCATCGACGTAGACAATGAGTAGAATGTAGTGTTAGAATCAGGAGCGGAATGGATGAATTAGAAAGCAGGTGGGTACAAGTAGCAAACCTAGAAGTGTTGTACCCTATACGAACTACCCCACTACAGCCTAAACAGACTATAGCATATAAGTTTGACACACCCCCATAGGCAAAGTGGGGGAGAACAAGAGGTCACAAGACCAGTCAAGAAAGGCAAAGCAAGCTCAGGTGGATCACAAAGTCACCACGCAGTCTGAGCACAAGCAAATGGCCACAAGGCCAGTTCACATGCAGAGTTATATAAAGGAGAGTAAACAATACAGTGAACACAACCTAGCAAGTGTAAGCATGCAGGTATATGTATAAAGAGTACAGTACAAGCAGAGTCAAGAAGTAAGCAAGTGAGGCACAGTAGGTACAAGACCTAACACAGTACAGAAACGCTGATGATCACAAGGCTGAAGTGCCTTGGTGAAAACATCAGCAGTGTTGGCCTGAGAGGCCACGTAAGCAAGACGAAGCTGGCCACGCTGCTGCAACTCTCGAGCAAGGAAGTAGCGCAGAGCAATGTGCTTCATCTGTGCTCCAGTCTGTGCTCCTGACACAAGGCAAGCATGGTCTTGTTGTCGACGTACAGAACTGGAGGAGAACGAGGCGCCTCTCCCAAGTCGGTCAGCAGGTAGGTGAGCCAGCGTAGCTCCTGTGCAGCCATGGCCCCAGCGTAGATCTCAGCCTCACAACTGGAGCTGAGAACAGAAGAAGAGCGGGTAGACCGCCAAGAGACAGAACCGGAGCCAAGACTGAAGGTGTAACCCTGTGACGACCGCTGCGTAGCCAAGTCGTCAACCCAGGAGGCGTCAGCGTGTCCAGTGAGGACAACTCGAGCCCGTCCTCCAAGCACGAGCCCCATGCCCGATGTACTGCACAAGTAGCGCAACACCCTCTTCGCAGCATCCCAGTGCACCTTTCGGTGCCTGCCGGGAGCCACGTAGCGAGCCAGAAGGCTGAGAGGGTATGCGAGGTCAGGTCGTGTGCAAGTCATCAGGTACATGAGGCAGCCCACAAGCTCTGGATACGGGCCACTCAGCTCTACGGACTCGTCCGAAAGTGGAGCTGAGAGGGATTGACCGGTAGGCAGAGGAGTGGAGTGTGGCGAGGAGTACGTGAAGCCGAAGCGCTGAAGGACCTGCTGCACCATGTGTGACTGAGTCAAGGTAATGGTGCGCTGTGCTCTGTCCCGGGTGATCCGCAAGCCAAGATAGCTTGTCAGCTCACCCAGGTCTGTGCACGTGTGTCTCTTCTGCAGCTCCGACTTCACGTGGGCGAGTGCCTCAGTGTCAGCAGTAGCAAAGACGAGGTCGTCTACGTACACGAGAACGTAGAACGGCGGCAGAGTAGTGTCAGTGCGTAAAAACAGAGAAGGGTCAGAAGTGGAAGGAGCAAAACCAAGAGCAGCAAGAGTCGTCCTGAGTGTGTCGTGCCACTCACGGGGTGCCTGGCGGAGACCGTAGACTGGCCGCCGGAGGCTCCACTGGGTACCAGCAGGAAACGACCCAGTGAAGCCAGGTGGGCGGCGCAGCCAGATCTCCTCGTGCAGGCTGCCCTGTAGGAAGGCTGTGCTGAAGTCAAGCGAGTGGAGCTCGTAGTCACACTGAGTGGCAACGTGCAGCAATACCCGAAGAGTGGTCATCTTCGGGGTAGGGGAGAAGGTATG